TTATTTTCGTGTACATTCAAATAATTTTTTCTTGGATGTATATTCTCTTTTTTTTTTAACTATGTCTTTAAGTAATGTATAAGTAAAATTCCATTGAATTAAATTTTTATTTCAAATATTACTTTAAGAAATGTATTATTTTTGCAATAATATAACTAATATAATTTTCTAAATACTTATCATTATTAATTTATATACCTTTGAAAACATGCATGCATAGATTTATCATTTTTATCCTCCTTGATACTTATTTAAAGAACCCATAAAATATTAAGTAACTCAACAACCAATGTTTATTTATTATTTATGCTTATTTATTTATTCCTTTTTATTTAACTTCATGAATAGCTTAGTATTTTCAATATTTGTGTAACAAGATATGTATAGGGATTTTTTATATGAAGTCAAATACGCGTTCGCGCGCATTTACCCATACGCTTTCCTCCTTCTTGAATATTCCTGGCATTCCTTGCAGTACGACGAATTTATCATGATATTAAGAACGTAATTAATTATTCATGTGGATCATCCTTTGAGCTGCAATAGAATAAGAGGTAGAGGATGGATGCATCACCTAAATTGAGTCCTAATGTCAGTACTTAACAATTGCAACCCTCTGCCAGTTCAGACGGAGATTGGATTGTGATGTTGATTTAATACAGTATTTCTGGAATGTAGTTAAAGAGATTAACTTGGTAGATACATTGCTTTGTTCATCTCTCTATGGGCACTTGTACCCTTGCATATGGGCAAATGTTCGTACATGTGGGTTCTCACTATAAATTATGTTATAATCATCTGCCTATTATCTTAATTTGTTGAAAAGTTTGATACTTATATTTGATAGGTTCGATAATTACAGAACTTTTTAGTTTATGTAATTTATTAATCAGTTTGTGTTTTAAATGACGTTTCATAGACATTTTTATTTTTAATAGAAGATTACAAGGAAGAATGTCATTATTTATAAAACATATCTATAAGGAATAATAGATAAAAACTTAAAAGGTGTCTTTTAAATAGTACAATCTAATAATATGCGTTTTTTAAATAACAATGAATGTTTCGGATATTTTAAAGTTAATTTTTAATAAAAATACACTTCATAGATTCATTTTTATTTCATAAATGATTTAATTTTAACAAAACTTACGTAATGTTTAAAAATTTTTGAAATTTTAGGTTGAAATAATTATTTATTGAATAAATACATAAAAAAATGTATTAATAATGAGATGTAAAGTATTTCATAGATATATTGGAACTACCTATTTTTCATGGAATCATATAAATATGATTTATTATAAAAACATTATTGAATGACAATAATCCCAATCTACAAAATATAATTTCTATACAATTTTATTCCACAAAAGTTGGATTTAATTAATTTCAATTTACATAATAATTTTATATATTTTTATAGGGAAGTAGTTTTTATATTATTTAATTACATTTAATTGTAATAAGTGCTAAATTTCAATCAATTACATGTTTTTATTATTTATTGCTTGAATGTCAGTACACTACTTATATTTATTAAACTTTGTATATAACTTGAAAAAAGGAAGAATTTGAGATATGATAGAAAACTAGGTAGTTCTTTTAAAACGTATGTTTAGAAATATAGTTCGTCGTGATAACTATATATTTTATTCTCCAGAAACCAACATTAATTTTTTAAGATTTTATGTACATTAATAGTCATATGGTATACATGTTTTTTAAAAAAAAATTTTTCACTTTATAAGAAGTTTCATTTTTGAAATCTTTTTGTAGACCACTTTCAATCGTTAAAAATTTGTAAATTAATTTGGTATCGAAATAATATTTTAAATATCGAATAACAAATGCTTATCGATAAATTTCATACTTATTTAACTAAAATACTTACAAAATTTTTTATCAGATATTCTTTTACGGATCATTTAAATATTTTAGAATCCTTTTATTTAAACTATGAAAAATTATTCATTTCATTCAAAAACAATATATTTTAATTGTCGATAAATATCCTTTAGAAGCATCAATTGTTACATTTTATAACATAAAAATAAATAAATAAATATATGTATATATATAATGGTCTGGTAACAAACATGAATAGATATTTACATAGGTCTTAGAATTTATTAACTTCATTATTCATATTTACATATCTAAATATTCTCTGCGTCATAATAGATAAGTAGATTAATGGGTAAAAATATGTTATTTCGACTAAAAAATAAGATACTATTGTATAAGGGTGACTTGTAAAAAATTTCTCAAAGATAATTGTTTATATTTAACATCAAGTTTTCATGGTTATATATACTTTAGTTAGCTCTCAATAGTGATTAAAAAAAAACTTTTAAATATATATGAATATTAATGAAAATACACATATATCACCTTAATTTACATCATATTAATCGCTTTATGAAACATATGAAACGTGAGTTTAGTTGTACACCCACCTTTAATTTTTATTTCATAAAATCGTAATTTTAAAGTTGTTGAATCACACATTATGTTTGCAATATTAAATTGTTGTAATAACATTTCATTTACAATTTATTAAAAGACTTTAGTTTCATCATTCTGATTCGAAAACACAATATTACAAATGAAATACATAATTAATTATATATATGTGTATAAAACAATAGTTTTCTTAAAACTTGTTTACAAATTACGAATTTGCAAATAAAAATATGAAACTAATTTCCCATGTATAAAATCTTACTTCAATAAAAACAATCTTTAAATATAATTATATATTTCATTAGATACAGTGAATTCATAGGAAATTTATAAAAATAATATTTTAGATTTAGATGGAAATAATGTAAAACAATATATCATTTTATATAGATGTAAATAGTATATCGGTTACTGAGAATTCAAATTAAAAAAATTAGTTATTAACAAATCAGTAATGCCGTCTTTTTTTCTTGTTTTTTCAAGGTAGTTTTATACATTTCTTTTTTAACAGATATTGATACTTAGTATGATTTTCAAGAAATGCCAACAAGTTGTAATACTTGAATTATAATAATTTAGTACCAAAATGAATAATAAATAGAAATTATGCTTTTTTTCTTATTGTAAAACCTTTAAATAAACTTCTATTTATTAATGTATTTAAATTTAGGTAATTTAGTGGATATACAAGTGAACGTTACAAATGTTTATTTTTTAGAAACTAATCTTATATTAGATGTTTTTATAAGGTAATGAAAAATATTAAGCTAACAATAAACTTTTAAGTGATATAGAAATAATGATTACAAACTACACATGATTAGAATTGATGCAAAGTAGACAAAAATTATTTAACATTTTATACAATATAATGTCGTAATCTGATATTAAAATTTCAGGTAATCCTCTTATCTCCAATTATTTTGACTCGTTTCATTAATGAAATTAATCAAATTCATAAAATTCGGAAACAAATTTTTTCATAATGTTTTCACATCCACGATATACAAAATGTTAAATAAAACGTATTATAAAACAAACAAATACGATAGAATATATCAATGTAACTGTGTATATATACATATAATGATGTGTGAAAACACACATACACATTCTACATTAATGATACATAATCTTTTTTAACATTATTGATTATACAAATGTACCTAATAACATAAAATAGGTACAACGCAGGTTTTTATTGTCACAATTATTTAATTGTGATAAAAATATATTTTAAATTAAAATACTTTTCTTTAAATTAGAAAAGGTATAAATTAGTTTCTTTGAAAACGGTCATGGAATAAAATTTGGATAAACAATTAATTCTTACAATCGATGAAATTATGAAAGTAGTTAAGAGTTTACAATCATGTGAATTTTGTTTTAACAATGAAAATATAACATTTATTGTACAAAAAATAGTTTATTGTTTTTTATGCAAAATGTAACGAACCCTTGGAATGGGAACGCAGACAAATATTGATTTTTAAATTGGTTTTTTGGTTATTGAGTATTTCCATTGCTAAAAATTGATCCCATTTAAAAATGTACATATAAATATAAATATCTTTTTTTATATAGAATAAGCATTGGAAATACACATTTTTCATATTTTGATGGCGTTTTGTTAAAAAATTATATGGTTAAATTTATAATTGTCTGACTACTAAAGTGCAAGTCTAATCTCATAATTTTTTATAATTGTACATATCAGAAGATATTACAGGATAAGCGATACATCTCTTTAAATAAGTCTTGATTAAACAGATATTGTAATATAGTTTTAGGTAATTGATTTAAATTCATTTAAATATATAAAAAAAATATAATTAATATAAAGATTAATATAAAAACTATATTTTTAATAACAATTATTTCAAGAAATAAATGTTTAACTGTATCAGTAATTGCAATTCATTATTATTAAAAAATAAAATTGTAAGATATAAAAAAAATTATTTAATAGTTGAAGTATTTCACAAAAAATTATAATTAAATATTAAAACTGAATATATTAAAAAATATTTTTTTAAAGTTTAATATAATACTATTATGAAGGATTTAATTTAATTATAAAATTATTTTCTCTGAAATCATTTGTATAATATCATTTTAACAATATTTTATAACAGTTTATGATTATTGTAATATTCTAGTTATTTCTTGCAAACTGGAATATTTTAAATTATAAAAAATTTATCAATAAAAATTCATTAAATCAAATTATGATAAGCTATATTAATTACTATAAAAATTTCTAAACATATTTTTAAGTATAAGATTGAAATTGTAATTTTTCAGCTGGACTCCTAATTTATCTACAAAACACTGCTATATAGCTAATCATTATCCTACAAACAATACAATAAAACTATATCTTATTACAATATTTAGTTTGTAAAAATTTAAGTACAATTTTAAATTCTAAATTTTCAAGGCAAATTTATTAATAAATATAAAGATTTAATTCGATAAGTTCCATAATAAATGTCAATTTGTATCAATAGTAAATATGTAAATAAATTGCAAAAATGAAAATATTAGTAAAACAAAACTTCGATCTTTATTCAAATAGTTACTTATATGTATAAATGACACATCGTCTATCCTGTAATTTCATTTATAGATGTATATATTTTTTACATGATTACACACCACTTTTTAATGATACCTGAGTCATCCGTCTTCGATTCTTTACTAGCAATCAAATCATGTTTTTCCACTTGAAATTTGTAGGGTGTTGAAACCTGAATAGGCCTTCTTAGACTAAAGGGATACTTAAGAAATCCAAAAGAAGCATTCCACAAATTACTTTCTTCTATCTTTGGTTTTTTCAATTCGCTTATGCTTTCTGTTATCAATTTCCGTTTCCTATCTAAAAATAACGTACCATTGCTAGAAGTAAGTTCTGATACTGTATTGCAACGACGAAGAATTTTGTAATCATTAATATTCTCTTCGGATAAGGATATATTTGAAGTATTAACAAAAAGTGAACTATTAGGAGATGGTTGCCTATCTCGTATAGTTATATGTCTCATTCGCCCAATAGAATTTCTTCCAGATATTGTTCTAAGAGTTTGACCAAATGTGGTTTCTTTGTGAACATATTCTGATAGTCCTTGATCAGCATTATCTTCTTCAGGCTAAGATTTATAACACATAAACAAATATTTCATTACTAATATTCAAATAAAACTACCAAGTTTTTTTTATAAGTTAAAGAAATTCTAGAGATAAAATCAATCCTTATAATTCTTTATTTATAACAAATTCAAAATTGTAAAATAAATTGTTATAATATAAATAGATGTTATAATTTGAATATATGAATACAAATGTAAAACTATAAAAATTAAAGAGAGTGTATTAAAATGCGTAAACTTAATTCAACTTATTAAATAAAATTTTTTCATAATTTGTATTTTTAAACAAGAGGTAAATGCAAAAGTGTATTGTTATACTACCTTAGTATCTTTCAAGCAATCATTCAATTTTATTTTTACATCTTTCAACATTATAGAAGAATCGTAAGATATAGCATCATTATTTTCATCTTGAATTATATCTTCGCTTTTTGCTTCTAAAGGAGTTGCGGATTCTGTAGTATCAGACACCTCTGATGTCGTAGATTCAACTACATCAACAGAATAACTATCTGTACCAGTTTCTAAATGTTCATGTACCTCTTTAACTAAAGTTTGTAATTCTTTTTGTACACTATCTTCTTTATTTGTTTCTAACAAATCTGGATGTAAATTTAATATTTCTTCTTTGCAGTTTATATTTTCTTCTACATCTAGATGAAGGTTAAAGTCTTCGTTTTCATTTATTTCAGGTACTTGTCCATTCTCTTCTGTCTGTCCATTATTTTTTGATTCGTTATGATTAAAATTTGCTTCTGTTAATTCTTTTTTATCTAATCCATTTGCATTTCCATTTTCTTGATCTACTAATTGATCAATATTATAGTTAGACTCATTAATTTGTTTAGTATTCTCAACCTGCTCGGTTGGTTCCTTATTTTCAGTTGGTATATGCGAAGACTTTTGTTTGCGTTCTGTTTCAGATTCCTGCTTCATTTTCGTCATTAGATTCTGTTTTTGTATAACTCCACTAGCCTTCTTAACTTCTTTATGGGTATTAAGAATATGTGGTCTGCTTACACGGTTCGTTGATTGGCTCAGCCTTACTTTTATTGGACTACGAAGTTTACTCTGAAATACATATTTTATTTACATATTTAATGCTAATAATTACTCTTAATGACTAGTGAAAAACATTTATTATTTACAATCAATGTAATGTATTATTAATTTGTTTTTTTTAATATATAGTAAATACAGAATTGTAATTTCACAGTAAATTTTTATAAAATATTTTTTAATATGTATTTAATAATAAAAATGCATACGTAAATTTAATTAATGTATTGTTAATGAAAATTATAAAAATTGTAATGTAGTCAATGCATAAACTGAAGTTTTCTTAAAAATAAAAAACTCATAATAATTATATCTATATTACAAATTAAATTTTTACAAGTTTAATAAATGAAAATTGTATATATATAATATATATATATATATATATATATATATATATATATACAAAAAAAATAAACAATCCTTCTCAATGATTTTGTTTAATTACATAACTTCTTACATTTTAGAAATAATAAATATCTTTAATAGTTATATGAATAAATGCTTGAATGGAATAAAGTATTTATATATTACATATGTATTTAATAAATAAATACACACAAACAAAGTTATTATGAATTCATATCTAAATATTAAATTTAATAGTAGGTTCAGTTTTAGGTTAAATTGTAAATTCTAGAAAAACTATCAAACAATTAAATTAACTTTGATAATAAAACTATCATAAAATATACAGTAAGAAATATTTTTATAACTATTAGTTAATCATATCTTACAGAAATCTAAAAATATCATTCAATATATCATATAATTCACCTTAATGTTATTTCTTTCCTTATTTGGAGGTTTAATTATATCTGAGGTATGCTTTGATCTGTAACATAAATTTATTAAAACTTCATTAATTGAATATTCATAGATATAAAAAAAAAAAATAACAAAAAAATATGACACCCTGTGAACAAGAATTTCTGGAGGTGATGAGAGGTAATGATTATGTTATTAAATTAAAAAAACTATACCAGTTTTCTTATTTTTATTGACATTTTTCAATTAATTATAACTAATTATAGCTTTATTTGCCTGTTTATTTAAATTTTTTTAATTAAATAATTTGATTTATGCATAATTATATTTTGCAAAATATTGAATCTATATTACAATTTAATGATGTATATTTAGCTTCCTTATAGTTTATAATTAATAATTTTATAAAATAACCATATGATTTGTAATTAATTTTTATAAATTTTTAAAATAATATAATTTAAATTTTGTAATCATGTTTCTGTTAATTAAATTAATAAACTGTTTATTTTAATAAAAATAATACAGGTAAAATTACTTAATTAATCTTCATTTTTATAACAAGCAGTTAAAGAACAAAACACACAGAGCAAAAGAAGTAAAAACAGTGATATTACTAAAATACTTCTTATTGAACTCTCTTTGACAAAAGAATTTGACAAACCTGCTTGAACTCTCGGACTCGCCCATTGTCTTGGCTAAACTCGCATTTGAAGAAGCTTTTGAGGAATTGCTCGTTGATTTGTATCTCCGAATATATATATTTCTCTCATCCCCCCCAGAGCCTGTACCGTTTGTTGACACTTTACCCATGATTTCAGATTTATGATTTAAGCTGTATTATAAATTTTTCTTAAAGAATAATGATCTCCCAATCTTACAACCAGTTATTAGAAGCCTTTAAAATAAATGTATTTTTTTATTGTAAAATTAAAGAAAAAAATGATACCATTCAGTGAAATTTATAAGAGACTGATGCTTTGTTAAGGAAGACTGTTATTAAATTATATATTAAATTTTGAAAGTGCTACAAGTCAATGGCAGAATACATAAATAATAATGTAAAAATTTATGTACAGCATAAAAAAAATTAATTAATAATGATTATGATTAATTAATAAGTATCAATTTTGATAGCTCATTCATTTTTAAAAATGAACTTTCAACAATTTTATTTAAAATTGATCTAATAAAGTATTCTAAGAAATTATCAGTACATTATTCTGAGAAATGTCTTAGATACCATATTCAGTCATCGTGTACTTATTGTACTTAAGAAAATCTGTATCTTATATGTAACTAGAAAAATGTAAATGATATATATTAAATTACTAATAAAATAAATCGTGCAAGCTAACAATGAAATACTTATCAAATTAATAGCAATTTTAAAAGCCAAAATCTCATGCTTTTAGATATTTGAAAACGCAGTCACACACAAAAGACCATAAAAATTTAAAAAAAAACAAAGCTTTGAAATTTCACTGTACGGTATATACAGTATTATAGCGTCATGATTGAAAATACCTTTCTGCGTGTGCCTGCGTAATGTACTAAGTACACCCTAGTCCCAAATTTAGTCGAATTATGTGGCTCTTGTCAACGTCGTTTTTGTTTTTACCGCCTCGTCACAATTCAATCACAACTGGTAACTTAACTAATGTTACTTTAACAATAACGCCAAGACGGATGAAATCCCTTTACGCATTTGCTCAGATATTGTATTTAGATGCATGGGTAACAAGTATATAGGTGTGAAATGGATACAAAACGATACGGACAATTGTTCTCAATGAAGGACGCCACCACGCTCCTTTTACTAAATAAATGAATACGGTTTATTACTGAAGAAATTGTCGGCTACCGCATACGCATAAAAACCTTATAATAAAAAATATATATATACATAACGCCTTCGTATCCAATTAAGTACGACCACACGTTGATAGTTTTCTTTATTTTTAGTGTCGCAAAGCTAATGTATCATATAGACACAGTAGCCGAGTTAAATCCATTCTCCTTTACGTAAAAGATAATTTCTTAAAAGGATTATTAAGATTGAATTCTTAGTCGTTCAATTTTGTATAACTCCATAGTTCAGTATGTGAGGGACGGCCGAAGATAAATAAATAAATAAATAAATAAATATATATATATATATATATATATATATATATATATATATATATATTTATTTATTTATTTATTTATTTATTTATTTATTTATCTTCGGCCGTCCCTCACATACTGAACTATGGAGTTATACAAAATTGAACGACTAAGAATTCAATCTTAATAATCCTTTTAAGAAATTATCTTTTACGTAAAGGTGAATGGATTTAACTCGACTACTGTGTCTATATGATACATTAGCTTTGCGACACTAAAAATAAAGAAAACTATCAACGTGTGGTCGTACTTAATTGGATACGAAGGCGTCACAGGGCGAATATATCGAGCTCATACGTAGAGGCACTCCTCGACAAGTTTTCGTAGGCGCTTATAAAAATTAATTCCTGGGTGTGCACTTGTAAACATGCACAAGAATAAACCGAATATAATTATGTGGGTATACCTGTGCGTAGGTACTTTTTCACAACGAATTATCTCTGAGTAAGTATAAACGCCTGAGAATTATATGCGGCCGCTCGTGAGTGGTACGTACGTGCACGTATGATTAGAGAAATAAGAGAAAGGGGGGAATAGAGTTGATGAGAACGTTGAAAGCAAAAGTACGACTGAGACAGATGATCCTCACGTTGTGGTCGCGCAGTATCGTACCCTTATACCCTTGAAAAATGACGGACCGTTAACCGCTTGCGCCTTGTAGACTTAAATTTTCAATTACTATAGCGCCTCTGCTGAGGCCACAATAGACTGAACCGGCAAACACTTTCTATATATTTATTCTTATTCGCTTTCGAGGTTAAAACGGCGCTTGTAAAGAGACAACATACAATTGGTGGAAATTTATCAGGCGGTATAATCCTGCTGTATTGAAAGTGGCTTTGTACAATATACTACGTGACTCAATGAAATTATTAGGGTTACTTTTAAAATTTTATTTAAATTTGATTTCTTTGACATAAATATACAAAATTAATTAATCCTTTAATGTTTTACTTGAGGAATAGTTTCTAAATTTTATCACATTAATAAAATACTATTACAACTGTACAACTGTTACTATTATAACATTATTTTAGATATACTTATTACAAAATTATTTATTAAACTTTAGATACAACTTAAATTCTTATCCAATGTAAAATATTAATATGTTTATATTTAAAAAATATCGAATTATATAAAATATTATTAGAATAAATTAAATAATTATTTATGTTTCTAAAATTAATATTTATTTTATACAGTTAAGTAAATTATCAATACTTTGACCCGTGACATTAATTAATGTTATATAAAAGTAAAATATAGAACTTGAATCAAATATTATATTATTTTAATTTAAAACTCGACATTTCCTTCTTAATTAATATTTTTTCTACATAATTACATATTTGAATAGTATTATTGTTAAATGCGTTATGAGAAATAAAGTACTGTGATAATTGGAATTTTTCTAAATTACAATTTACAATGTATTGAATAATTTAAATTCTTTTAATTTGTAATTCTATGTACAATATTCCCTATAAAATAGAAAAAAAATTCTACCTTCCATGTATAATATTTTAGTAAAAAATTATACTTTCTATTTTATAAACCATTTCAATATTTCTTAATAATAAAATTTCATAATTAATATATTAATAATTATTGGGTAAATTTAATTTTTATAATTCTTACTTTTATTTTGTATTTGATTTAATTTCAAATTACTATTTCGTATACAATAGAATATAGCACCCAATATCGACCTATCGAAAAGCTGTCAAAATCAGTTTTAATGATAACTATCATTAAATTATTAATGTAGCAGTATGGTTAAGCTGTTAAACATGGCCGCGAGTATTTATGTTGTGTTAACTTTTTGTAAATGAAACGAAAACGTGGAAAAGATTAGTAAAATTAAAGAAAACATCTATGTCCCTTTGCGTTTTAAATATCTCAGTCTTTTCTTCTTTTACGTTCACATTTGTATTATAACAAAAATCCAAATCAAAACATTGTTGCAAAAAATTTTGACATTTAACCTTAATTCAATTTTTAAATGCTTTTATTGTACTTTAAGTAAGAAATAAAAACAAATACAATTTCTTTCACTATTTATATACAAAAGTTAAAGATAATGGAAGAAGATTTTAAGGAAAACACATAAATTATAATTTCATGCTTAGTTGTGCACTCATTTATTTTATATACTTTGTTCGAATCTAAAGTATTTGTGCTATTTGCATGAAATTTTAAAATATTTAATTTAGTATCTGTTAGAATGCCTAAAATCAAAACAGAAATCAATCAGCATCGAGCTGCTGTACAAACAAGACAAATCTTTAACAATATGTATGTACGTCAACGAGAACTTGGTATGCATTTTCCTATGGGGCACAGTGATCGGTTTTATAAAACATTATATACATCGATGCAGCCTATTACATCATGGGATCATAGTGAAAAAGTGACATGCGCAATTCATGGAGGTGTCTTTAATTTAGAATATTCTCCAGATGGGTAAATTAATATTTTTATATGGTATCGATATTGAGTTCTTTTAAATGTTGATTATGACAAAGAACTTAATTCATTAATTTTTCTCCACACCTTTTATATGTTATAATGATAAGTATATTAATTTTGTATAACTTTAATTTATTATGATTAATATAAAGCTATGATAAATATACCAAGATTTCTGATTTAAGGTTAAATTAAAGTATAAAAATATTTTGTAAAATGCAGTCTAAGGAAATTATTAACAATAAAAACAGAATGTGATAATTAATTTTATGTAATTTATAAATGTGTACATTATAATTTGAACAAATAACTATCTCAATTGAAAAAGTTCTTTAACATATGTTCTTAAACTTGTATTTTACTTATAAAGTATATATAATAATTTCATTATTTAAAATATTAATTTAAAACATAATTTAATAAATTTTATTCTATGCAGTCTTTTTAAATACATTTCAGTACTAATGCTAATAAAGATAAATTATTGAATAATACAAATATAAGAATTATAAGATGGAAAAATCTTAGTACAAATTAATATTATCTATTTTCAAATATTCATGAAAGTTATTTAATATTAGATATAAATTGATGACATATTATTCATGTTAAAATCCAAATCAATATATGGATAGAATAGAATACTTTAATAATTATATAAACTGATATTTAAATTTTTTTAAAAAATAATACCATGATATTTATTACTTTTTAATAGAAGCTATTTGTATTAACAATTAATTATTCAAGAAAACGAAAATGTTAATATAAAATTAAAAAACTATACTTATTCATTTTGTACTATATTTTTATATTATGTTTTTTTTATTATATATAGTTTTTATACTATATTATTCATTATATATAATATTTTATATGATATATTATTTCTTAAGGACATTTCATAGTTATTTTATTATTTTATTTCTAACATAATCAATTAATAATTTACTTAAATTTGTATATTATATTATTCATATTTTTCAGATCACTTCTGCTGGCAGCTTGTGAAAAAAAAAGCATTTTAATGTTTGATCCACTTTCCAGAAAATTAATTCATTCTATTGATAAAGCTCATAATGACTGTGTTAATGGTGCTAGGTTAGTATAATATAGGAATTTTATGTTTTAAATATTATATAAATTATGAGTATGTAACTGATTTTATTTACATAAATAGTTTTGGACATGTTTTTGTATTGTACTTATAAAAATATAATCTTGCTACATTTCTTATAGATTCCTTGATCAGAGAATGTTTGCAACATGCTCTGATGATAGTACAGTAGCTTTATGGGATGCAAGAAATATGAAACAAAGGATAAGAACATTACAAGGTCATTCAAATTGGGTGAAAAATATAGAATATAGTCCAAAAGATAAATTATTATTAACTAGTGGTTTTGATGGTATTATATTTACATGGGATATTAATAGGTTAGTTTGAAATTTAGTGATTATTAGGCTGATTTCATTCATTTTAATGTCTTAAAAAATGAGAATAATTATCTGTAATGTTTTTTATAGCTTCACAGAAAATAGTTGTCTGTCTACACGAGTTTTTCAAACTAATGGCTTGATGAGGACGAGATTAAGTCCAGATGCAACTAAAATGTTAATATGTACAACTTCAGGATATCTGATTCTCATTCATAATCTTAATCTTAGTACTTTAAATCAAGATTTGGCTGGATTTAAGGTATAATTTCTTACTAATAAGACAATAACTAGACATCTATATATCAATAAATTAATTTGAATATTAAACAAAATATTGAAAAATAATTTATTTTTTCATAGCCAAATATGTATCGTTTAATGCAACTGTCACAAACAACAATTCCTGTAGCTGCAAGTTTCACACACTTATTTTCTAGTTCTCGAGCTCACAATCGCGTTGAGTTTGTCACTGACTTTCCTCAAGGAGATGATGCTGAAGTCATATCTAGTTTACAAGTACACCCTCATGGTTGGTGTGCTCTTTCACGAAATGTGAGCGCTGGTGAAAAATCAGAGGTAATTATTGAATTTATAGGTTTTAAATACTCAAAGAAACTTATACTTTAATAAATATTTTCTTGATGAATATTTTAATTATACATAAATAATTATATTTTATTTCGGGAACATGACGTTAAAATATATTTTATTGAATGAGATATAATTTGTTATATATATTTTAAATTATTCTTAAAAATAATTTCCATTTTTGTGTTATTATACAGTTATTAACTGAGAAATATTAAATCTATAAAAAAGGAATTATTTTCATTGATAATTGTAAAAGTTAGATGATGTCTTTAAATTTGGGATATATAAAGAATTTTGTAAAAATACAAATTCGTAAATTGAAAAGAAAATTAATTTTATATGTAGTTCTACTTCTGATGAGATAAAATATCTTTAAAGAAATAATATTGAAAATTAAATTATGTTTTAAAAATCATATCAAATATTTATATATATATATATATATATATATATATATATATTCTTATAAATATAATATTTATAAATATTTTTAGTGGACGTGTATTCACGATATTCAGGAGCGTGATACACTTGACTTAACGGAGCAACAGAATCATTATCAACAAAAAGACGATGGTGACATGTCTCCATCATTATCTTCCCGCTTTGGTGATTTTGCGGTCGAAGATTTTGACGATAATCAACCTCAACAGCCCTCGCGATCGGGTATTACCTCAGCTTTTGTCATTGACAGCGCAAATCGAGCACGTATCGTTCAAACAATGACACCTGACTCCTTAGGACGCTCTAGTTCTTTTAACTCTAGAGATGCAATTCAACCGAACCGACCATCAAGAACTAGTAATTGGCAGGAGCACTCACTTAGGCGAAATATGCGCTCAAATATAACACATAGAAACATGCCTGTGGGTAGATCTTCGAGAGCCTCAAATTTTGGAGTTGTCGTAGAGGTAGATGACGCAGATGTTGATAGTTTCCCACCAAGAAATTATGGAGTTGATAGACTGAGAGATGTTGAAGATAACGACGAAGAGCTGAATCACAATCCTGGTAATTTCAGAGTTTAGCAAGCAACTTAATTTTTTATAAATATAATATTGTTAAGACTACAAAAATGAAGCTTGTAATTTTTTTCTTCTGTTTTTTTTTTGTGAACGTTTATATAATATTTTAAAAGAATAAAACAATATTTTCAAAATAAATCTAAATAATTATAATAAATTAAAAATATAAATATTATTATTTATATTTAATTTTAATTTAAATTTAAGTATATTTAAAATGTTAATAAAGAAAATGTTTTGTAATAAAAACAATTCTGTACATACATGCGTCGTTAAAATACAACAATTTGAATAGGTAGACGAACAGGTCAGCGCCGAGGTTCTCAAAGCAATGACTTACAACCTAACAACACTCACCGACGGCGTAATAGTTCCGTAGAAAATGGTAATTTCTCCACAGGTAATGTCGAGCTTCACGTCAATTCTAGCGATGTTTGGGAAGCTTTAGTTGCCATTCGAGAAGCAAGACTTAGACGCGAAAGTGAGCGTGAATTCCATCTAGACTCGGCAGAATAGTAGCGGTGTCAGCGTTAATATACCACGCTCCTCTCATACAGTATGTTATCATTGATAAATTTTGTTATCAACAGAATAATTACAAAATTACTATAAAAATCAAATTCATTATATTTTACTATATATTTGAATAATGTAATTATATTTTTTTACGAATGTTCATGCATTTGCTTTAATACTTTTTTATTTTTATACAGTATAATATTTATATTATTTTTCCTCACAAATAATTTTGAAATAATAAATAACGATCTTAATATTGTTTTACTTATTATAATAGGTGGTAATAGTTGGTGATCGACGACCTCAAAGCCAGAATCGACAAGGCACACAAATAATGTACGCAATCCCGAGGAATCACCGAATCCATCAAAATACACCAAGGCTTACACACTATATTGAAGAGCCCAATGTTGGTTCAGGCTATATTAAAGAGTTGTGTTTTTCAGCCGACGGACGGTTAATATGCTCTCCTTTTGGGAAAGGTCTGCGATTATTAGCTTTCTCAAATCAATGTCAAGAACTCGCTGATTGTGTACCTTTTCCGAGTGAATCATCTCAGTTGGTTGAGGTAGCATCCAGTTATAGTCATGAGGATATTGTTGTTAGTACGAAATTTTCGCCAAGACACTGCCTTTTAGTATCTGGGTGTCTGAGTGGCAAGATTATTTGGTATCAACCAGTAGTTTGAAGATATTGACGCGCTATTAAATGTATAGTTTTCATTCATCGTAAGAAGACGGTACAAACTGCTACTTGTAGATTTTTTCTTGTTGCAGGTATTTCAAGCGGCAATTATTTTAGGTGAAGATTTTGTAAATATTTATTATTTTTTTAAACAATTTTTTTTATTTATGGATTTACATTATCAATTTTTTGGATAAGTTTTTAACTCGTTCACAATGAGAATTATTTATAAAGTTTTTGTTTTTCATTTTTATAGGCCTTAAAGTTTTCTCAAACTAAAAAGTATAATTACTCTAGTGAATAATATTGCAAATAAATTTTAAATACTATAATTTTCAAAAATTTAGTCATTATTCAGTTGATGTAATTTAAATGTGAAATATAAAAGATATAATTTATTTAATTTTTCATTCATTTTGTTCAAAGTAAAATTTCAAAACTTTTAATTATTTTATAACATATTGCATATAAAATTTTTTTTTCGATAGCGTTAAACAAATGAAAATTAAATAAAATATGATCTTGAAATATTAAACTTTTTTATTGGTCACTTGGTCAATTGAAATTTGTAAGTGGCAGATTTTGCCACTGTTAATTTTGACATAATGGTAAGAAAATCTTATATGCAGCAAAGCCATCAGGTATTAATATTATCTTACAACATTTTAAATTAAAACTTTTTATTAAAAAGTTCTATATATTTTATTGAAATAATTAGTTCATCCAATTTTATTTACATTTTTCGTTAATTAATAAAAATGATTTTATATTGAAAAAGATGATCAAAAATGTATTATTTTTTGACCAAAAATCTACTTAAAAATAACGTATGAATGTAATATATGCGAGTTTATTGTTTATATCAATTATATAAAATAATTTGAAACATTTTAACATGATAAACCAATGAAACTATGTAATTTTATTATATTTAAAATACATAGTTATGCAAAATTGTTATTAGGTTTTATATTTAGTATATGAAATTCTTATTATAATTTTTTTAGGTTTCATCGTCATGTTGAAAATAAAACTTATTATTTCAAATTAAAGATGATAGATCTTTGTTTATTTCTATGTATAATAGATATGAACCAAAATTTCATAGACAATTTGCGCTTTTGGCAAAGTTGGTACATAATATACAATAAAATATAAAATCTGTTTGAGAATAGTTTTAAGTATAAATGGATATTAATGCTAGTTATAAACTAATATGGTTACAAGAATAAGCTGTTATTGATATTTACACAAATATTTAACAGACGTGTTATGCCTGAACTTAGAAAATAGCTTTGGAATACGTATTGCGTATATAAAATATATGTATCACTTATAAACGCAATTGAATATTATGATTATTGAAAGTACTAACTCTAATACAATATATTGTAATAAAACTCAAGTTGAAATTTTAACAATCTTTCAGATAAGCTCACAGATTTATAAAAGCTTTTTAATAACATTATAGGGTAGGGGTGTTATAATAGCAATACGAATGAATTACATAGAAAATCTATTTTTAATCTAAGATTAAATAGCTATATTAAATCTGCTTTAAAATTAAATTTTCTAGTCTCATTTTTAAATGTGATTTTTAAAATAATACAATAATTGATATTGCAAATTCAAATATAAATAAATTAACTTTAGCACGATTTTAATATTAGTTACTCTCTTGTTCAATATGTACGATAATAATTGATCAATTATTATTCATCAATAAACACAGTTTTCTACATTTAAATTTTCTTACATTAAAATGTTTTTTCTTTTTTTATTTCCAATTATCGTTACATTTATCGAATCGTGTACAAACTTTTTCATAAAACTTTCATCATAGTTATACTACATGAAAAATCGAATTTGTGCAATAAATTTATTTATTACAAAGTAAAAATAAAATATCTAAATTATGATATTAAAATTTTAAAATGACCTGTACAATAAAAAATTAAATATCAAATTTTATACTTTTCAAACAAAATATAAAACAGAAAATTCGTGAAAATATATACATAAAATAAAGAAAAATATAAAAATATATTTGTCAATATTGTATTGAACCATTTATTATGGACTATAATTAAATATATACGACTAATTTTATATTGCTTTTATAATAGGAAACAAGTTTATATACAAGTTTATAAACAAGGAAATAGTTTAATTTATTTAAAATATTGTAACATTCGATATTGAACTTCAATATATTTAAGTTCAATTGCATATAAAGCAGAATTGTATCCTAATTAGATACATTTTTTTAATAAAAGTTTTTAAAACTCAATAATTACTTAAATATCAAAATAGTGTATTGTATCTATAAGCTGTTTCTCAACAATAATATTAAATTATCGAACTATTTTGATATAAATATTTTTTTGTAAAAAATAATTCAATATGATTATTTGGCTATACCTTTTATACATTAAAAAATTTTGGTTCAGGGTATTTAGAATCATATTTTATTCATTTTATAACATTAATTAATAAAAGAAGGCGCATAAAGTACTACACTTTTAATACTCTTTTAAGATAAATTACAATAATTTACATACACATTAATAATTTATTTTTCATTGTAAGCAAATCATTGTAAATGCTAATTATTATATTTTCTGATATTTAATTAATAACTTATACATTTTATTTCTTTAAAAAATTTATTTATTCTAGAATAGTTTGACAGTATCTATTTTGCATCTCTAACTTACAAAATTGTAATTTGTCTTTTTATTAATAAATCTAATTTTTTTTAATACAATTACTAATATAAAAAAATTGGAAAAATTACTGTATTTAACTTGTATTCTATAATTATTATTAATAATTATGCTATTACAAGTTACTGTCTTCCAAAATTGAATATTGACAATGATTTCTTTTCTAAAGGTATCAATGTTATTTAAATTATGAGTAATAATTATTAGATAAAATTAGATGGATACTTATAATTTATAATTAAAGACCTTTAAATTATAATAGTTGCTTTAAGTAACTATATTAGGTCATAAAATATATAGATGTATATATGATACGTGATTTATAAAAGAAAATATGAAAATAAAATTGAAGTATAAGTCTGCTGTTTCGCAATTCATCGATTTTGTAGTTGTAATACATAAGCGTTAATCTTTATGTTACGATATGGATTTTGGCTGTATAGTGGCAATAAATAGAAATATTTCTTCAATGTAATCACATGAGTATACGGTATATTATCATTTATTTATATGTGAAATACTATATAGTCAATTCAACCACATAAGTATATTAAAATAATTAAATGTTTTGGAATTTTGTAGTGGAATTTTCTACTCATTTATTTCAATTTTTAAGGCTATTAAAAAAAGTATGAGTAATAAGTTTAATATGGCAATATTATTTTATGTTCAATATTTAAGAAATCCATAAAATAATTGTACATATAGTGAAAAACCAAATAAATCGGTTAAAAATACATTAAAAATTTATTTTTAGCTGTTTAATGGATTTGGGGATACGTGATTAATGCAGTAGGAAATGAATGAGTAAGATAAACCAATAAGGTGATAGTATGATAATTAATAATAATTAACCTGTATAGCATATATTATAGGAAATGCATATGAAATTTGTGAGCTTATTTGTGGGATTTAGAAATGATAATTGCCTCCGAGATAAGTCTTGTAACATATTATAATTGACATTACTACAATTTTTCTTATATTTCATTAAAAAAATTTTTAATTATTTTTTCAATGTGTTTTATAAAATCATGAATTTTAAAATCATAACGTAAATGAGTCAAAACCCGAGATTTTTTCCTTTCATAAAAATAAATTTTCTTTAAGACTTTTTCACGATATTTTAAATATGCAAAATATGGATTTAAATTTAATCAATATTCTTAAAAGTATAAAGATTTATTTATTAAAAATTAAATAATAAAAATATTAAACTACATACATTGAATCAATTCAATTAATTTAGTTTTAGTAAAAGCAAATTATTATTATTTGACGTAAACATAGAATTTTTCGGCATAGAAAACTATTCTAAAAATATTGTATTTGAATTAAAAATAATTTTTTATATATTATATTATTAATATGTGAAAATATATAGAACTTTTTCTGATTAATTTATTTCTCTATAATCAGTTGATATATATTTATTGAAAATCAGATTTTGCTATTATGATAGTTTTTTTTTAAACTTAAGAGAGCTAATGTGAATATCATACTGTGTAAATAATAATATATTACTAATATTAATTACTGTTAAAGACTAGAAAGGATTAAATCCTTTCAAAGAAAATCAATTTTAATAATTTAAAAATTGAACTATAATAAGAAATCAATGCCAAATAAATTGGACTAAGAAGCTCCATTTTATTTTTTTACTTTTTAGTTTAAGAAACAGATTTATCAAATTTTTTTGTAAATAAACGAATAGGAAAAAAAATCTAGTTTTGGCATAATTTTTGCTTTAACCAGTGTACTCGAAATTATGTCAAAATAATATTTAAAAAAATAATAAACATATTAAAGGTCAATTTCTTCACTTAGGTACTCATTTAGTATATAATAATTTATAAATACGGATTTCAAAAATAATTTAAATTTCAAAATTTGTTTAATAAAAATAGTGATAAAGTAAACTTCATCTATCTAGTTATAATTTTTTTATTGAATAAATAAATCTTAAAATATTACCAATGTAATAATAAATATTATAGATATTCCAACAATTGTTATTAAAAAAATTCTTCAATTTATTAAGTATAAATTATTTTCAAACATATTTAAAAAATATTCTTTAAGGATATAAAATAATGGGCAACTAGTAAGTATAATATGTTCTTAATCTTAAATTTATTGAATTATTAATCATCATGTTTTTTTACTCAAGATGAAACTTATTATTTGTTTTGTTTATGATCATAGAAATGTTAAATTTATTTAATATACAAATAGAAAATGGTGTTTTAAAAAGTTATATTCTCCACAAATGCAGGTAAATTCAGCAAAAATTTGCGTAGTTGAATATATTTTGAACCACTTACAATATAGATAATTAATGTATCAGAAAACTACACTCTTGTACAGTAGTTGCGTGCAAATTATTTTATAATGTTTGTTTGTTTTTTTCTACATATAAATAAAATAAAATAAGTATACAAGTCTTGTAAACTTTTAATTAAAACCAACAATTTCATTTTTTTTTTTAAATATATTGAATTCTATTCATTTTAACTCATCATCATTTTAAATTTAATATGTATAGTAAATAATGAAAAAACGTTTTCTTCAACTATTTATGTTAAAAATTAATTATAGTCATTAGATAAGAAATTATTATTACACAAGAAAGTAGCTTCATTTATAGTAATTAATTAAATACGTGATATTCTGTCCGTGTAAAACAAATATTTTCATAATACAATCGTTCTAATTTTAATTTATTATTGTTTTTCTTTTAATACATCTACTAAATTATGTAAATTAGGAAAAATTATATTTGGTTTTTCTTTAAATATGGTTTTTCATTAAATTCATTAAATATTTAAATATTATAAAAATATTATATTATCTAAGCTATTAGACTTTCCATTATTCTTATTTTAATATTTTATTTTTTTTATTCTTATTTAAGTTACTTTTGTTATATAATTTCTCATCTTAGACTTTTTTGCTATTATAATTGATTCCATTTTTATTATATTATATCAATACAATATAAATTAGTAATTCTTTTACAAATGCTATATCCTTACTTAAATGTAAAATAATAATAATTATTATTATAATAATATTTTAATAACATACTTTTTTTAATTTAAGCTCTTTTTAAAATTATGGACGTCTAGTAGACAAAATGAATATTGCTAATTGAGATTGTATGTGTAAGTAAAGAAGAAAACAAATGCTATTAATTAATCAAATAAAGAGTTTAACTATTTTTTTGCACTGAAGATTTTTATTTTTTATCAATTGAAATTAAGATTTAGTTATAATAATGCTTAAAATTTTAAAACAATATCGATATTGATTTTTAATTAACTCAATAAATGAAATAAGAATCTTCCATTTATTAATAAATTTTTATCTTACATATGTAACTATTTGTATAATTGAAATAATATTATAATGGAAAAAATGGGGAAGAAAACAATTTTCATCATAATTTATAGAATATATTTCTCATAAAACATCCCATCAAACACTTAAATATTTGTTATTCTTTCTGACTTTATCAAACAAAAGTTGTTTTTATGTTAAATACAGAATAATCCATATATAATGTTATAAAACGTTATTGTTATACTTAAATAGATTTAATTCTACCTTAGTTTACTTATTTGATTATTTAAAATATTTAAACATTAAAATGTATATTATGGTGAATGATAATCTTACAATTTAAGTATTAATATTATTTATTTATTTTATAATACGTTTACAAATTTATACATTCAATACTATTATCGTTTGGGCTAATTAACAAATTATTTTTCTTTTATATTTAACGTTATATATATAATACGTTATTATTATGATTCTCTATTAAAAATAACATTTTCAAAGCTAACATTATTACATGCTTAGTAATTATTAACTGAATTATAAGCTATTTCAGTAAGCTTCTTTGCGTAAGATGTGTATAATTTAAAAATAGATAAAGCATCATTTTTACAATATACATAACCTTTGAAATTAATTTATTCGTTCAATAATATTTGTATAAATCCCTGCATATGTACACAAAAATAAGAATGTTTACTCAACAAGCAAAGAATTTTTACTGAAGTGTAAACTGTCTCAAGAAAAAATTAATACTTTGTTAAGTTATTTTTATAATTTATTATTAAATATTTGTTTAAGGATTATGCTTGAAATTATGAATACAACTAAGATGAAAACATTAATAAGTATTTATTTGAAAAGGATATAAAATTTAAATAAAAAATTTAAATTTCTTTTACGCAACTATTTATTGATACAAATGATATACAATTATATTTTTCATTAATTACTAAGAAAGTATAAGTAATATATAAAATAGTAATTATATAAAACTGTAATGTTTACTAATTTCATAATGATAAAATATGTATTAATAAAAAATATTTATTAATATTTATTTTTAAAATATTTGTTAATATAAGAAATGTTTTCAATAATATAAATATGTATTTTAATTGTTTTAATTATGCATTATAATAATTAGAAATTGTACTTATAAGATAATATTCATACATTGAAAACAGTTTAAACAATTATAATATTGAAGTGAATATAGAAAATTACTTTCGGATGAAAAAATTTGAATTGTTGAATACTTATATACATAATTATAGTATTCTTTATCTCATATCAGTAAATTAAATTATTACTTATCTATAGTGTAATTATAGTAAGCGATATAAAAAGCAATATTTTAAGAGACTGAATTTAGATTATGAAAATTTATCTAACAAAATGGTGTACAAAACCAAGTTCTTTATTCTTAACATTTTATTAACACATTCACTCTTCTGCTTCTATATACAACATGATAAACCTGCAAACTTAACAGTGTCTTGTTCTTTTACTACTTTATTATATTTCTCATAAGTAAACTTATTTATTGTGGTTGCTAATTCATATTGTAATTATAATTTTTTATTTATCAAAATTTCATTATATATAACTTTTTTTTAATAAATTTATATAAAATAATATTCAAATTGTTAGGTATAAAATATAGTATATAATCATTTTCAACTTTCACAATGATTTATAAATATAATATTAATACTATAATCATGATGTATACCTGCAATGTAGAATTATACATTATAGGAAGTAATAGACCTGTTATATATAATATCGATTGTATATTTAATTTTTTTAATTTCATGGAATTATGTAAATTTCTAACTAATTTAAGTAATGAAAAAAACAGCTAATCTACAATATTTTATAATAGTTAAAAAACATTAGTAATTTTTTTATATACTAAGAAAAGAGTAGATAACAAGGAACAAGAGTAATAATCAATATGTTGTTTTTCAAAGTATGTAGTATAAAATGACTGTTAAAATAACATATTGAATATTTGCCAAAATTATTTTTCCAGCACTAGCTAAATATAAATTATTTGTAGTTTGTTTATGGTCATTATTATTATAACTATCATTATGATTAAGACGGTGTTCGAGATTGTCTTGTGCATGGACAGCATGATTTGGTTGATATATCATATCTGGACGTTTACTTAGTCTTGTTTCATTCTTGGTAAATCTTTTTTTTCGTACTGTTAATATAAATCTTGAATTTAGAAAAGTTTTAGAACTGCTTTGCAAAGATGAAGAATTTATTTTCAATATGGGTTCCTGATTTTCATATTTTAATGGAAAAGTAATATTTGGATTTAGATACAAGTGAAAAGAAGAATTAAAATTTGCTTTGGTGGGGATTATTGACGATGCAAAAGTTGGAAAATATAAGGAAGCGTAGTCTTGATGATCCTTATCAGCAACATCCATTTTCATATCATTCACTTTATTTAATTTCGTTTTTATTAATTGTATCTTTTTTTTTTTTGGTTTAACTATATTTTTATCAAGTGGAGATGGAAAAAACACTGGTTCAAAACTGTTATTGTAACTACTAATCATACTTTCTTTAACCACTTTATCGTGAATCAATTCCAAGTTTTTATCAAAATTACCTTTTTTATTAGAATTTCTTGTTAAAATTGGCTTAAAACCTTTCTCAATAACAATTGATTTTGGATCGAATCCCATAGTTCGTATGGGTTTTATAATTGTTGATCTCAATAAATTTACCTTATCCTCGGATAATATATTACTGGGAGTAATTTTACTGGTACTTTGCGATTGTCTTGTGTCTACTTTCATAAGTTTTGTTGGTTGATAGTAATATTGATATTGGTGATGTGGATATTTTCCTAGATTATATGTTCTTGAAAGCAGTGGAGTTTTATGAATGATCTGCTTTCGTTCGTGGAAGACGGGTGTTTTTATAGGCGATTTTGCAAAGTCTGATCCACCGTTTTCTTCATTTTGGTATGATGCTATGGAAGAAATCAGTGAGTGCGGTCGTTTAACCATTGTGTGAAAGTAAGTAGAAGTTGGTATTTTTAACTTTCCATGCATAATCATCATTTGTGACGGTCGAGGAGTTTGAATTTTCATATTTTCAAATTGTGCCGTAGTGTAGATTATCTTTTGTGAGGGAGTCGTGGATTCATACATAGGTATTGAATAAGACTCTTGCAATGGCATATCCACTATCTGATTCATTAGAGCAGCTGACGGTCGTCTCAATATTTGGTCATTATCTGCAACGATTTTAGAATACTGTGAGTTGAAGTTATATTTCGAATTTTGGGATTTATGCTTAGAAGTATCACTGGATTCCTGTGTATTATATGCCATGACTACTTGTTGATTATGAAGCGGTTGATGGAATTGATGATGGTTATTATTATTGCGATGGATTATGTAATTTATGGCATCATCGTGTACATGTTTAGTAGGCGATCGACGTTGATCTTCGACATATTTGACATTATGCTTTTGCAAGGATGCGAGAGTTAGTTGCGGGATTTTACGGTTATAATTATGATGACTATAATGGTGATAAAGCTGATGATCACTAAGATAAGGACCTATTATTAACTGATCAGGATTATTAGTCGTTGATTGTGGATGATAATAATGATGAGGCTGTGGATAAGTAGCTTTGATGCGCAGATTATTATAATCTTGAGAAACATATTCCCTTTGTTGCTGGAAGAATTCTGGCGAGGGCGTTACCTTAGAGGGATTTGCTCTTGAACTGGCATCAGTGTTGAGATCCATAAGTTGATAATGTTCATTAGAATGAGGGACGACAAAAGTTTCGTGTTGGTTACTAGCTGATTCTTGCTGTAAGTCGCATGTATCGTGTACGTGGATCTTCCAACCAAGATAACGATGAGTAAAACACTGAAATTAAAGTATTGTATTCATATTAAAAAAAGATTAATGAAAGTGGTTATAACAAATATAAGCATACACTAAATTATTGTTACTTTATACGTTAATGCTTAGTATTTCTTTCCTTTTTATAAAATTCAATTAATTCCAAAGGATAACTATCAAATAAATTTGTATAGAAATTGCAATATACCTGATAGTAAACAGTATCAGGAGTGTTTACATCGGGAGTCCAGGAAACAATACCGGGTTCCCCATGGTCACATATCAAAGTAAGAGTTCGTTGATAAGCACCGAAAGAAGCATATTCATCAGCCGGTGGCTGATTCTGATCGGGCATCCAGTTGCACAACCTACCAAGACCGGTCGGTCGGACTACACCACGTTGACGACGAACTCCAGCGAATATCGTTACATTCTATGTTAAAAAAAATCAGCGTAAAATAAAACCGAATTTTTTTTTCAATAAGAAAAATTATTTTAATGAATATAAATTTAATAATATTTAATAAAATAAATCACATTGTAATAAATAATTAATAAATATAACACAAGAGTTTACCGCTCGTTCCTCGGATGTCATATGTTGGTAACCTCCAACAGGATCATCAGTAATATAGAATGGATGATAACGAGCAGGTGTCGCATCATTCTCTCCACCCTCAACTACAAAGGTATATTTCTTGCCTCGCACGACATGGATTTCAGGAATGAGTAGACCATTTATGTACCACGAAATTCCCCAACCAACATGACCTGTTCAGCAAAATTTAAATACTTGAAGACTGTTTGAGAGTTATTCTTTTAAATTCTTAATAACTATATTTTATGTTTAATTTCAATATTGAAGTAGCATAAAATTATGTTATTTCAAAGAAAACTTTAAAAATCTAATCTTAAATTAGTTTAATTACATTAATTAATAATTAAATAAAAATTGCTTTTAAAAAATGGAAAAATTAAACTATATGTTTTTAATAATAAAGAATATAATTTATTGTTAATTTTATGAAGGACAGGATAAAACAAGGTTGAAACAGATTTGAATTTAGACAAGAACGAGATTAACTGTGAAAAATGTTATTTGTATTTAATCAGTAAACTATATAAATAAAATTCTAATATTGCAGGAATACTATCATAGTGCTCCGATTATTAAATATCTTTAATAAGTGTAATACACATTCAAGAACGTTAGTGACAATTGATGACTATGAAAATAACATTGAACAAAAAATAAAGACAATTTAAATTGAAATAGAGATAAAAGAAAAAATGAAGTATTGGAATGAAATATGAATTTTATTTTAGTGTAAAAGCACATAAGATAATATAACAATTAAATAGTAATTGTAAAGTAAGGAAGAGGAAATATTAATCGAGAGTATTACAAAATTTTTATTTTTCAATACTTGCTGTCAATTTATAGTATATTTATAGGATATAAAGGACATATATATTTTATATTCGCGCATGTGAGTGTCATCATTGTAAGACTTTTGCAAATTTATAGTGACTATTGAAATTCATTATATTAATTATACCGAATAATTAAATTAGATTGATGTCCCTCCATTTGACGCGAAGACATTTTTTTCGCAGAATATATACTATTGTTTGAAAAATGTTAGTATAAATGGATAACGAATATATTGAATATTGAGACTATCCAATGGGTTGAGAACTGGAGTTCAACAACTAGATTTAGAAAATGGGAAAAAATCATGCAAAATTATTAATCAAAGCGGAAATGAAGGAAAAATATTATAAAAGTGTAAGGCCTTTATAGCGTTGAGTTTATGTTTCTAAACCCAGATTTTGAATAGATTTTTAAGTGAATTATATAATAATAATTATATAATAATAATAATAATTTAAGTGAATTATATAATAATGAAATTAAAAATTGTAAAACGTATATAAATTAATTGAAATTAGAATAGTATAACTTTAAATTATAAAAAATTAATAAATATTGTTTATATTTAATTAAGTAGAAAAAAGATCATAATTTAAGTTTTCATCTACATTGATTTTTTATATTTAATTATTATTAATTAAATAATACACAATATAATGTTAAATAATTAATAAACTATAATACGTAATCATAGATAGAAATATGTTATCATTTGGTTTTATTAAGCTTTAATAAATATGCCTGAAAACCTAAATGAAGACATGTATTATGCAATAATTAATTTAATAATATATTTTTGTAATGGCTATTATAACCTATTATTTTAATTAAATTAATATGTTCTAAGTTTCTGATTATAATAATACCACGATAAGAGCATAGAATAAAAGCAAGTTAAGTCGAAACCTTTAATTTGTCATTTTTTATAACATGCCCTACCGGTGATAGCGGGATAACCATGTTTTCCTCCAGTTGGTCCCATCTGAGCATAGAAAACACCATCTTCCGGTTCAAAACACTGAATGGGAGGAATTTCCCAAGCGTCCTCCTTTGGCACCGATGGGGGAGTCGCAGGTATTCGCATTGGTCTTCTTGTCGTTGCTGCAAGCTGATAACCAGAAAATAAATATAAAAATATGTTCTTTAAAAAAATTAGATTATTCTTTATCCATTTTGTGTCAATTTTACTTTTTCTTTTTATAATTAATGTTAAATTTTGACAATCATAAAAATTTGAGATATAACAAAAAGATGTTATAAATCAGCTTCAATTTTTTAATATGTTTCGTGCAAATAGATTTAAAAATTCTTATTCGTTAAAGTTTCATTTTCTGAAGTTAACTTTCATGTCTCTCTAAAGTTAATGTAAATTTAGATTTTAAAGAATATAAAAGAATTAATGAAAGCACATACATGCCCATTATTATCTTGATCGAGATGATGAGTATTGGCAATAGGTTGTTGCTGCTCGAGCTGTTTATCGCTTTGCTGCTGATCCTGGAGTTCTGGCATTGGACAATTCCAGGCGGGTGGTCTGCCGAATTCGATAAAACGATCGCCTTTCAAATAGTTGCTGTGGAAACTGACCTCATTCTTGTCATTCAGTGGCCCAACGGCCCAAATTATCGCTTGCGAAACGTTTGTTAAAATTTCTTGGTCCAATTCATCGCTCATTCTCAGGGGCCGTTGATAAGTTACAATGCTATATCCATTAACCATAGCCGCATTTAGTAATCTCACAGAATTTGTATTTTCCTATAAATGTTTCAAGCAATGTTTCATATAGTTATCAAGGAAGATAACATTAAAAAAAAAAAATACAGAAAATAAAAGAATTTCTTTTAATATTATTTTTAATTTCAACGATAATTAGTAATTTATTTATATTTTACAAATTAACTTTCATTAAAAGATAAGAATGTTTCAGAATCAGTTATCCTAATTTTATGTATTTTTTATTAGAATCTGAATAAAACTATTGTAAATCAATACTCGCAATATGTTTATATAAGCATTTACTATAAATTTAATATATTTATTTCATGTTTATGTAATAATATTAAGTCATTTCTAAAATAAGTTTAGGATTCGGTCAATTCTTAGTTCAATTTTTTATTTCCATAAAAAACATAAAATTTTAATAAATTATGCATTATTAGCTATAAAAGACATACAATAATTAAAAATCTGGATTAATAAAAAAGTTTGGAAAAATTAATAAGAAGATTAATTAGTACAATCATCGTTCAAAAATTGTATTGAAAAAAAAGAATATGAAAATGCCTTGTATTTGTAGTGTAAGTCAACATTAAAAACTATAAGTAAACTTTCTAATAAAATTTGTTATATATAATAGAGTTATTATATATATTATGACTTTAGTAAAAAAAAGCAGATGAGAAAAAATCATTTTAATTTTATGAAATACTCAAAAAATCTAAAATTACCTATGTAAAAAACAAATTAATCGAACATAACAAGTAACTTTTTTTCAAAATCTAGTTTGTTATTATTCTTCAAATATATATTTTCAGTATTTTTAAAATGTTTATATATATTCTTAATTAAAATACATTAAAATAAAACTGGAATAATTCAGAAATGGTTTTAGTTTTATTATGACAAAATTAATGATAATCATATTTGATTGAATTTTTAGTATTTAAAATTATTACATCATTTAAACAGTTATCTGTTCAAATTGTATAGTTTCACTACTTTTCGTTGTTTGTTGAAATTATTTTAAATTCCAGTATATAATAAAGTTAATTAATTATTAATAAATTTTTAAACTTAAATAAATTTATTTGTTAACAAAATCATCTTTTTTATTCGTCAATAATTTTTACTTTTTTAAAATATGTTAAAATCGAAGTATACAAGTAGATTGATAAGTAGCGCTTAAATAATACCTGAATTTTACGATCGGGACAACTTCCACGTCCTCCAGAGCATTGAGATTTAGAATCAAGGAAATAATCAATTGCATAACCTTGCAGACTCTGTTTATCCACCCAGGTGACAACAACGTCTCCATTGATCATGAGACTTCTTTTTGGATCAGGAGATACACCAAATGACATGTACTGGTTAGCTTCTACAGCATTATTTAGAATTCTTTATTTTAAAGGCTATATAAATTTTGTTAATATTATTGATCTGTAAAATTGAGTATGTCAACTTTTCAGTGCTATGTTTTCTTAATTTCCTTTTACGAGTGACAGAATATATTGAATTTTTTAAGATATAAATTAATTATGTGTATAATTAATTTTTATACAAAAAAAAAAAATTATCAATATACATAAAAATCAATTAGAAAAAAATATTTGAAATTTTCCGAATATAAATAATTCATGTTATGAAATTCTGCCATTGAAAATTAATTAATTTACAGTGAATTAAAAGTTCCGAGTATTCTATCTCTATATCAATCTCTCATACTTTCCTCTTAGATTACTTTTCACGAATGTATTTCAGGACAGCCTTTTATTTGTTATTAATTTATAAAAATTATTTACCTTTTAAAAATAATTACTGATCTATTCTAGTAATTAATTATGATTGTTAAATTAAAATTAGAGAATAATTATTTAATTAAATTTAAATTTTATAAAATGTTGTACAGTTAGTTAATATAATCATTGTCAGAATATCTTTAATTTTATCAATGAAATAATAAATGAATAAAAATATTTTAAGTTTGGTTAATGGGATACCCTAATTTATTAGATGGATTGATACATAATGTTGATCGATCGATATTTAAAAGTAATATATTATATACAATTCGTTCTTTATAAATAAGTAAATATATTTCTGTAATTTTTTAAATACCGTAGATTAAGATGTCTAAACAATTATTTATTAGAATTAGTTATAATTATATAATTATTATACAATTAGATATAATTATCGGCTCCAATAAAATAATTTTTTCAATTAATGTTACTATCAGTATATTTATATCTATTATTTTGATAAATGAGAACATATTATATTATGCAGCATTAAATTAGTAATATATAATTTAGAAAATAAATTGTGAAATATTTAAATCAATGAATAGTTTAAACAAATTTATCAAATTATTCTCATACATAAACTTTTCATATGAAATTATATGTAATTATCTAAGAAAAGTATAGGAAACTATACAATTATATTCACATGTTTTATGAATAAAAGCTTTGTGAGATGTATTGTAGATGAAATTTCAAAATTAATTATTTCGACAATAAAAAGAGCAATTATTGATTAATTCGAAATGACGTCATATTTTTTGTATTAAAAGGCAAATGAAAGTGTTGAAACCGAACCGTATAAACATATATTGAAACATTCGCCATATATATGTAGCAATTCGTTGTCAATTTGCTGTAAGTGACCTGAAGGCAAAAAACCAGATGTATTCAGAACAGGATAGAAGCACGCATTCGTACACCTTTCTCTTAGTTGAATTTCACAATTCCTTGGAGAGAGGCGATTGAAAACAATACCATTATGTACTGAGAAGAGTATAAAGAATCAAGTATTGTTTTTTGAATATGCAAAATTAAATTGAATTAAATTTAATAAAGTTTAATAAACATTTTAGTTATAATTTTTATTAATAATAAAGTATAGTGTATTTTAAGCATCATTGAAATTAATATATTTTTATTTAGTTCTAGATATAAATTTTTTTGACAGATACAAAAGATTCTTAAATAAAAATATTCTCCAATATTACTCGTTTATATTTAAATTTGAAATTAAACAAATTATTTTGTAATAATCATTAATGAAGGAAAGAGAATTTGTAATTCCGGTGGACTTACCTAATGTCTTTTTCATGATGTTAACCGGAGAATGCATAATGCATATGTCTTATTGAAATAAATCTACTTATATAATGATCAATTGCTACTGCTTTCTTCGAGAGAAAATCGACGGATGGAGAAAGTTGTACCATTAAAAGAAGAGAGAGCAATTTCTGTTTTTGACTTAAGAAATTGAAGGTTGTTCGCAAACTGTAGATTGTCAGACATTTTTATAATATATAGATAAAATAACGACTTCTTGAAAATTCAATGTGTGCTTTTTGTCACATAAAATTAACTGAAAAATCTATTTGGTAAAAGTAAAATTCTCTTAATGAAATTCTTTTAATAATTTGCAAATATTTTAGATTTCCAGTTTACTGTTACTAATAAGTAAAAATATTTAAGTCCAGAATTTGATCAATTTCAAAAATTGAATGTATATATAAGATTTAAAAAATTTTCTTTAATTTATTGAAAAAATACATATAAATGACGTTAATGATAAAAATCTGCAGAATTACAAAAGTAAATAAAAAGATCTAATAATAACGGAGAAAAGAATTATATATTGAAACATAAGATGATTTTCTGCTTTAAACTTATTACAAACAAAGTATAAAACGAATACAACAATCATAGTTTTCATATTACTTATATAAAAATATCATTTATTATTTTACATTTAAATAAGAAAAAAAACATACAAAACTAGTATGTCATTAAAAAAAAAACAATATATTTCAGTAATTTATCTGAAAATTTTTTTTAATATCGTAATAATTGAGTTACATATTTTTTAACAAATTAGTATATTTAAAATTAGTAAGAATGTAAGAATCATTGAATCTTTATCATTTCGCACTTCATTATTCATGATTGATTAACGAGAATATATTTTATTTTTTAATGTTTTATATATGAAAAAAGAATATTATAATATTAGCATGGTTAAATTTTTTATGTTGCCGAAATTAATTTTCTATACAGTATGTTCATTAATTTTTTATAAACTAAGTATTAATATAATATATTAATATTTTATATTAATTTGATTTTGTTAATGTAATAAATAATCAATATTCCTAATATAGTATGTATAATTTATGTTCTCTTGGCGTTCAGTTCTGATGTTTTAATTAATTATGGTAATTAAAAATATATGTTAAATACATATGGTATGTAAAATAAAAATAAATAAACTATTAATATTGATTGGATATTATAACTTATTTTTTATATTTTAGGATTGAATTCCAAGTCCATTATAAAAGACTCATAGTCTCATTCAATAAATGTTAGTTTTAAGCTTTTATTTTATTATTTTTGTTTGTAAATAAATACAGAATTGAAACTGTGTAGACTTACAAATTGATAAAAGTAATATTCATTCTGATAAAAATGTACTTTTAGTTTTTCCTATTATTGTTTTTTATTTATTTTGGTGTTATTATTGTTACTGTTGTTCAATTACGTTATTGTTTTATATATTTATATGGACATATAAACAACTATGAATTTAAATAGGATATGGAGATATAAACACGTATACGAAAGTACGCAAGCATATAGAATAAAAATCGAAAGTGAAACTTACCAAGTTTCCCAACAAGTTGAACGACTATACTATCTCCAGCTACAGCCCATCGTACTTCAAATGCTAGATCATCATCTAAGACTTCGCAGTTTAATTTCGACTGAAAGAAATAAACAAAACTTCGATGTAAATCGAAAATGAATTATAAATCTATATGCAAGAATGTGTATGTACAAAAAGTTTATGAAAATAATATAATTAGCTGATAACTAGTTTACTATCCGATTGAACACATAAATATATAAAGGTTTATAAATAGTTTTGTAAACTAGATAAATATATATATTGTAATAGTTTTAAATTAAAAATGTTTAATCATACAAATAAGGAATTACAGAAAGAAAATGAGGGGATGAGAGGAATATGAAATTTTTAACTACTTAATTTGACTACATGACACTTAAAATAGGCCAAAATAGTATTTTTTTCAAATCAGAATAAAAATTGCTAATATTTTCTATTTATTACTTAACATTTACAGATAGATATGCAGAATAAATAATCAAGAAAATCAACAAATTTTAATTTTTCAAACTATGTTTCTGTTTAATACAATATTAATTATTTCTTAATTTGACTGAAAATTATTGTTTATATTTGTATTAATAAATAAAATATTCGAAATCCTTTTTCCGTAAAAATAATAATAATAGTATGTTTATTCGGTTTATTTGTTTGTATAAATGACAAATTATTAATCATTACCATTATAAGTACAATTATTAGAAATATCATTTAGCTGCATATTTATTAATAAATTGATTCAAATAGTAAATCATACATAATTAAATAATAAGAAAGTATGATAGATTTCCATAAATGATTTATTTATTAAAAATATATTATAATATAATTGACAATTAAATTATATTTAATTATAATAATATCATGATACTACAAAAACATACTTAGTCTATACAAATATATTATTCAGAAAATAATGTTATTACAATAAAATATAATAATTTACATAAGAATTTTCGACCAGGCATAAACAAAAATATTTGTTAAATATATTAATTATAGAATTAAAGCTCTAAATACTGGCCTGGTATGCTTTTTTAACGTCCCTATTTCCATTGTCGACATTTATCAATTGATTTCTCTTATCACAGTTTGATTTTTTGCTATGAATTACATATAATATTAACCACTTTATTCATTTTTAACAATAATTATTTATAATATAACGCATACATAAAATTATTATGTTGATAAAGTCATGCCGAAAATTTATGTTTCGATTTATACAATACATAAGAATAATGTATTTTTAAATAATTTTTTATGATTTATAATATAATTATTTCTATAAATAATTGTCATTATGCGTAAAAATATAGTAATATAATTTTCAATAATGAACTTGAGGCTCAAATACAATTTTTATTCCTAAATTTAGTGTAGTATAATACAATTTCGAGATATAACCAATTAAAATCTTAACGATTAATTGTACAAATAAAATCATATCGATTATAAGTTAAGAATGCATATATATATATATATATATATATATATATATATATATATTTCAAATATATACAGTATTTACTGTATCCATAAAATCCTCTGAGTAAGGAAGAATAAATCTATAAGCCATGTTTAAGATAAATGGAAAAGATGATATTTTTAAAGTTAAATACTTTTGAGAACTTATAATAAATATTCTATTTTTCTATGGCATAGAAAATATTTTATGGTCTTAAAGATATTAAAATGCTACATTGAAATATTTCTGAAATTGTGTAAAATAGCTTGAATTAATATAAATAGAATGGAATATTTTTAAATTGAATGAAATCAATGATATATAAACTTTCTCATAAAAAATTCATTATATAAATAAAAGTTTTTAATTTACGAATAACTTTATTTTTGACAAAAATAGATGATCACAGATATTTACAAATAAAATATTTTTACAATTTTTTATTTTTTTTAACTATCACAAAAATATTTCACTGTGTTTCCCAATTATAACAAAATTTTTATAATAAAGAAGCGAGTCAAAAATATTTAATAAAGTTTGGTGTTTCTACATATATTGTTTTATAAAAAAAAAACTGTGTAAAGAGTATTTTTTATGTTTATTAAAAGTAATATTTAACGATAATTGGAAAATCTGTATTAAAACGAGTAAGGAATTATGTACTGCTGACAATAAAGACTACTGGATAAGAGCAAGCATTTTTATAATCAACTTTATGCATTTGGTGTAATAGATAATTAACTATTTAAAGGGAAATTAATAGAATTATAATTTTATATCAGATTTCGCACCCTAGTGACTAAAATAAAATGATTCGGTCTCATTGATTTTCTATTAAAACAAAGAATTATTACATATTCATTTACTAAGATTTTATTTCTTATCAACATTTAGAATTTTAAAAGATTATAAATTTGTTTTTATTAAAAATAAATCAGATAATTTTATACTTTTTTAACATTTTAACTTATAATAAATATTACATTTATTTTTCAACTAGTTATTTATTTCAATTAAACTACGTAAGTTGTTAAATTATGTTTGAAATATCGAGTCATTCGTGATGAGATATTAAAGAAAATATTCATTTGCTTAAAAATTGCCGAATAGATTTCATTATATTTTTTTAAATTTTATTAATTTTTTAATTTGTTCTTATTATTTACATTTAAAATAATAAAATAAATTAATTTTTTAAATCAAAATAATAAATTTTTAAATTATACTTTCGCTTGCTTTTTTGTACTTTATATTTAATTCTATTATTTTTTTGCTTAAAAAAAATTATTATCTAAAATTATTTTACAAAATTTTTACAAAACTATTTCAAAATTAACCAATAAGAAAATTGAATGGATCAAATATTACTGTTGATTAAGAATTCCATAAGCTCAGGCTAATATATATATTTTTGAAAGTAAATTTTTTTTATTTTACAGTTAATCCAAAAATGTACCATAAAATATAGATTAGCGGGACATTATTCGAAATTGATGTTTTTATTATTATTAAAAAATTGTATGCACAATAAAAAATGATGTAAACATGCACACACACACACACACACACACACACACACACACACACACACACACACACATATATAGGATAATAAATTTTATTTATAATTTAAAAAATCAAGAAGTATTTAAAAAGTTGGACATAGAAAATATTTTACTAAGAAAATGATATTTTAAAACAAGTAATTTTGTTCTGAACTAAAAATGTATATTTTAAAACTTTTCCATTTAAGTTTTTATAATGGCATTGATTCATCAATAGTATTTTATTTCATATATAAAATTAAGCTATTTTTATCAGCATATAATTATACATTTTTAGGTGAATATTTATAAATTTTTCTTTAAATACATATTTTCTTTAAATATATGTAATCTTAAAACGATTTAAAACTTTTGTGTGCTTCTAGTTGTACGATGCAGATTGAGTATTCTCACAATATTATTGTTACATGTGATAAATTTTGTTGCATCTTAAATGATATTATTTATGAAAGTACATTATCAATTTATTGATCACAATATTTTTTAACATAATTTTAAAATTTTAGAAAACTTTTAAATATTTTAGAATCTGCACCTCTTGTACAATTGTCCTTGATTTCTGTTAAGAGTATATATCTTTTCCCATTGTTATCAAGGTATTCATTAAAAAAAGTGGTCACTACTTAATACTGCACATGATAAGATTCAAGCTTTTGTTGGCCCTGATATTGCTGAAATCTCGAATGTACTTGCGGTGATTGAACAATTTGTTGCGTCTTTAATAAATCCACACCATGGTCCAGTCGGCGTTGAGCTAATAGTGGAGTTTGTGTTGTATGAACATATCCAATGAGTTCGCCATCGTCCTGAACGTAAGTGTGAAGATGCTGTAAGGTAGCAACGATACCATCAGTTGCTAGTAAAGGTACATGGTAGTCCAAAGCCGGTATTATTTGTACGTTTCCATTATGTCGGTGTAGAACAGGTCTATATGTAGTGGGTCTTTGAAATTGTTGTCGTTGATGATGATGTTGAAGTAGAATGTTATTTTGAGCAACATTGACCAGACCTGAGATATCTTGGATGCTGCGAGTATGCGTCGATGTCAGTAAATTCTGTCCCTGCCCTCCGCGCGCATTCTGCAAGACAAGGTCAGAGACAGCTTGTGTTTATCGAGAACCTCTGAGTGTGATTTTTTAATTGGAGAATCAAAGTTGATATTGTTTTGCGTTTTTCTAATTTTCAGCCTGTGACGTATGTATCTAAATTTCTTCCTTGCTCTCAGGTCAATCTATTTTTTTGTAATCACTGTGCTGATTGTCGAAGAAACGTATGATCATTTTTTGTTAATTATTATATTTTTTTGACATCTAATACATCAAAATTGATAATACTTATGCATTTATAATTAGACATTAAAATTTATTTATTTCATATTTTTCCAATACCTAAATAGATTAAAACTTGTAAAATATGAAGCAGAGAAACAAATAAAAAGAATAATATTTAAATATAAATTTTATATGTAATTTAATGTTAGTATTTAATAAGCAGATTAATTGATATATGAGAAATATTAAGGTTTCAACAAGTGTTAAAATAAAAAATAGTTTTAAAATATAAATTTATTAATTAGCTTATAAAAAATTCATCAATTATCAAACTTGTTGACACATAACCATTTAACAATCATTAATTTAATCAATTAAAATTAGTTATTGATCAAAAAATTAAAAGACCAATTAATAATAAAAAATTTTGAAACATTTTGAATAATAGAATGTATTTTTGAATGCTAAAAACATTCAAGTGATATACAATTCTATAACCAGTCAGTCTTAACGAATAAGGTATTTAATTTAAGATAGAATTAGTTTTAGGATCCATTTGAACATGACAATATATGAAAGAATAATGAAATGTGAAATAAAATATTATTAATAATTTTTATTATTATTAATAGTTTCAATTAGTTTAAAATGAAGAATTCATTATTATTGCCATATCATTTTTTAATTACAATTTAAAAATAATTGAACTTTACCGTACAAGTTTATAAATTTTATCTACGTTATGATTAATTTTTTAACATATTTAAAATGATTAATAATTCATTTAGGTAATAACAATCAAATGTTATATACTTCAATAGCAGTGTCTTTAGATGTAAGATGAAAATAGTTGAATAAAATAGTATGAATAAAAAAATAAACCTAGACATTTCAACATTCTGAAATTCTTTCGTCATGCATACATATCAATATTTTTCAACTTGTCATTTAATGACACGAATAATATTTATAAATAATAAATATAAATGAAATAAAATATTAAAACATTTTAATGTGTATGAAATATACTAAAAATATCAAGTACTATATTTGAAAAGAAGTTTAATAAATAGAATGTATAATAAGTAGTAGTAATATTAAAAAGAACAAATAACAAATGCTTGTAAATAGAAAAATTTATTCTTGTTTATATCAACATACATATGAAAAACTTTTTTGTAATTAATTAATTATTAAAAGAAATAATTAACTATATATATATATATATATATATATATATATATATATATACACATAAAAACTATAACATCATATTTTCAACATAATCAAACCGATAGATTTCTTAATAACTTTACATGAATAATAATATTATTAAAATCTAACAAAAATATATTTAAAAATTAAAATAGAAAAATTCGGAAAAAATTTTATAGATTTTATTTTACTTTTATTGTGACTAAATACGAAATATAAATTGTCGACAGAAAATATTACAGATTTGATACCATTTATTCCTAGCATAGTTAGATGATCGAAAGAAATTTATTATTTCACGAATATTTATTCGTTTTTTAGATTTCGATTTTAGATAGATATAGGTGGATAATATTAAAAGTAAATTCAAAAGTAATATTAAAATAGGATTCATATGCAATTATGTGTTTTATGTAATATTTATTATTTTTTTACGAATTTCACTTTAACAAAATTTAAATTATTTGAAATTTTGCAATATCGGAATAAATTTATTCTATTGTAAACGAAACCTATGCTCAATAACTATTACATATTTGCACTAATAATATACTATTAATTGAAAGCAATTCTATGATAGTTACTTGAAATACTAAATGATAATGTCTTTTTTGAAAGAAATTTCATTTATAATTAAAATTTTTTATAAATTCTTATATATTTTATTTTTAATAATAATATTCATTATTTTTCTGACAAATTCTTTAAAAATATTGATTTTAGAAATATATCGTTTATTGAAATTTGAATTGTACATTCAAATATATTATACAGTCGATGTTAGTATTAGTATTAGTCTTAAATATTTCTATATTGAAAAAAGAATTGTTATATAATTTAATTTTTCTTAATTTAATAATAGATAACCCTAATTTTATTTGTTTTAAAATTCATAAAATTAATTGTTTGAAAAACTACTTTTCTTTTGAAAATTGAGGCTTTTTTTTAACCTATATACATTATATTTAATATATTTAGATACAAATATAATCATTATTAAAAAATTTACTGACTATTAATGGTGGCTTTATTCGATATTATTAATAAAATTAATATTATTAATTAGATATCAAATTTTAAGGTTATTTGATTTTATAAACTTAAAAAGAAATGTTTGATTCTAAATTTCTATTATATTAGTAATTTAAATAAAATTATTGTAATATAAATTTATTTATTTAACGTTAGAAATATTTTACAAATAAATTTACGTAATTTTTCTATTTCTTATATTATATATTGTATTATAATAAAAAATATTAATCATTGATCTATTAATTTAAGAGATTTTGTAATATATGAAGACGCGGAAAAATATCTCTCTTTAGATTGATAACATTGACATTCAATTACTTTAATTGATAGTATGTGTAGTAAGGGTTTATAGAACATTTAAAATGAAATCATTCTTAAGTTGAATTTATTCAAAAGTTTTCTAATCTACAAGTAACGCATATTTTTACAGTATATTTCAAACAAATAAGATAATTATTTATTGAAAGTGTGGTTAATTGACATAGTGTTTAATGACATAACTGACGACAAATATTTCATTAAGCTTACTAATTTCAATATTGTTATGAATGTTTGTAATGGAAGGTCCGTACTTCTAAAAATAAATAAGCTTTGAGTTTATAAATAAATACTAATTTATATATTTCATGTCATTTAAAGAATGAATATGTCAGATTAGATACTGGAATTTATTATTTTGAATTTTTAAAATACAAAATTCATATAATGACAATTATAGTTAATTACAAAAAATTCAAAGATAGTAAAAAGCTGAAATAAATATTCAACCAATAAACGATTAATGCGTTAAAATTAAAAAAAAAAAATAAGATAATAAAATGTTTTTGAATAAATTGTTATTTTCTAAAACAAATATCAGGATATTTTCTAGGTATTGATTTTTAAATATTAATATAAATTACATAAAGTAATATATGCTTGGAATATCTTTATAATTAGAATCAATAAAATCAATATAAAATATCCCAACTATCTTTTAATGTTATATACCAGTAAACCTGTATATGAATAAACAACAAAATCATTTTTAATAACTGTTAAAACTTACCTGTGGAGATATACCAAGCATTTTAAGAGATGGTGGTACGTTTAGATGTTGCTGTGAAATTTCGACGTGTCCAAAATCGACAGCAAACGCTTCACACCAGACACCAAAATGACCAATTTGATAAATAGTTATATCACCAGGCAGAGTTAAAACAATAGTTTTGTGATCATAGCGCCGTAGCGGCACCTCCTTGCCATTCTCGTCTGGTACACGAATTCCTTGTGATGAGGGCAATGAACCCGAACCAACCCAGAACTTAGCATCTATAGAGCAAAATCATGAATTAGTGAAAGTTAATATATTATAAGTTTCTCGTATGAAAAATAAAAACTTTGATTAAAGGATTTCTATGATTTACTATATAATTTTATATACAATTTCAAAGAATAAATAAAAATTCCGCAAATATCAATATTTTCATTAAGGTATTAAATAATCAAAATGGTTATTATGATAATGATTAATAATTATTCAATTAAACTAATATTATAGTATAAAAAAGTTTTTCAACTTTCATATAAATATTATTATTCATTATATGTCATATACGATATTTTATTTTAAGAAAAATATTCTTTTAAGAAAATATTGATGTATAATTAATTACACAATGATATATTTTGGAAAATGTATTGATTCAAAACATTTATGATTTAATATATGGTTCCTAAATTATATTTCTACGTAATATTGATTGGGATCAAATTTTATTTAAAAACTTACATTGAAAACAAAATTTTCTTTGACTTAAATTCTTATATTTAATTATTAATTAATTTTAAATTATTAAAAATATTAGAGTATAAAAAAAAATTATTTGTAAATATTAAAATTCTGTAATTAGTGTGTTATTTATTAGTTATAGATATATATTTATATATATATATATATATATATATATATATATATATATATACACTATAATGAAATCTATAACTTTTTCTTGATAAAGCTAATTTATTGCAGCATATTTAAAATACTATAAAATATACTTTTTTGACAATATTTATACTTTCATTGTTAAATCATTATTACTGATATTAAGAAGTAGCAAAATGTATCGAAAATATTAAGTTTTTATGATATAGTTTCGTACTATTGTTTTATATACGTCATTTTTATACCTGGAGCCTCTCCATCATAACTGAAGTTTGGTATAAGAAGAGTTTGCGCATCAACGATGACAACTGGATCAGAACTAACACCATGAATACCACTTAAACTTGCCAATTTCTGTGGCCTCGGATAATCGAAGTTGCGTGGTATTTTTACATCACCAAAATTAACCTAAAAAAAATTAATGCAAAATATACTTTACTTTCCTTTAAAATCAACGAATGGAATAATAAAAACTATGAAATTAAAAAATTTCTAACATTATTTTCAAATTGTATTCAATATATTGTCATATAAATATATGTACATGATTTATGTTTAAAAAAGATTAACCAATATTTTTATAAATCAACTAAGGCAACTATCTATGCATATGAATAAATTTAATTTATAATGCTATCTTTTATTAATTATAAATAAACGCATTACTAATAAAAAGAAAATAAAGATTTAAGTATATATCAAATATAAGGAAATTTTTTTATTAAAGCTAATAATGCAATTACGATTATTTTACTTTTGGAAATGTTAAATGTAAATTAATGATTTTAACATGTAAACTTCTAATTTAAACTATAACATAAAATTATATTTATAAATTTTTAAAATAATAAAAGATTCTATACAACATAGATCTATACAGTCTAATGGAATCAAGCAACAACAGATGCTTTTGGTTTTTATAAATATGAAATTTGCATTCCAAACTCACTTATAATTTTACATGAATTGAAAAATTTCGAAATTCAAAGACTTTGCAAAAAATTAAAAACTTACGGATTATACAATAATATTATTCAACACTTTAATGTATCATGAAATGAGTACTTATGTAAAATCCCGAGAGCGCAATAGCTTTATGCACTCAGGTCCAGATGCACTACATCAATAACACTTTAAAATAAACCTATACACTCATCAAATTTTCTTTTTACTTTGTGAATTAAAAATTATATGTTTAAATTAAGTGTAAAAATCATTAAAAATATACTATCGTCAGGATTTGTTATAATTGTTTTTCTGTGATACTTGAATACATTTAAAATATGAATTTTAAATATAATGGAAACATCGTAAATAATATATAATCGTTTACTATTATTTATCAATGATAATGTATATTTCTTTATTTATATTTATTTATTTTTATTTATATTATTTATTATTTTATTATTTATTATTATTTATTATTTATTATTTATTATTATTATTATTTATATTTATTTATTTAATAATTAAAATTATGAATAATATAAACATTACTTTTAACATTTTAAACACTAATCACATAAAAAATAAAATGAAATACAGATTAGATATAAATTAGAAAGTAAGAAAATAAATTATATTATTGATTACAATATAAATAACTGTGAAATAATTATATACAAATATTTTTCTGAGAATCTACATTGTATCTAGTTATATATATATATAATTATGCAAATATAAATAATAGAAGTTGTACCAATTTTCTATACTTAAATTTTAATTAAATGTAATCTTTAGTTTTTTTTTTAAATTATAATAACAATTTTTAATTAGCCACAGTGTTACTTAAGATGAATTGAACTGTGATTACTCTTGAGCTTTTTTATAAGTTATCATTAAAAAAGATAAGATGTAAATAAGCTATAGAATATTTTAGTATTGTTGCATGTTTTAATACTTTATGCAAATATTTAAATTATTTAAATAATATTGTATAAATTAATATCTCTGCACGATAAATTGACTATAATTTGAAGTATATTTAAAATTAAAAGACTAATTTTCACTTAAATTTGTATTAAAAAAAAACTGTATTTAAAATAAGTATAATTATAGCGAATACTTACTGCAAAATCATCACAATACACAGAAAACCACTTGATGTTACTTAATGTTTTGCCTTCTGGTAATGTTAAAGTAATATCCTTCTTTCTATAACGCTTGAGTAAATTCGTACTACACTCGAAAAAATGATAATCTTTATTATAATTATTAATATAAGAAATCATTACTACAATATCTGAATTTTAAATATTAAATTCTTTATATATTCGTTGATATATTTAATTTTATTATATTTTATAAAAAAATTATGCATAGTAAATTAAATAATTATATGAGAATAGTTTTGAAATAATAATGAACTTTAAAACACATATGAATATAAATTCTTTTCATACATTATTATAGCGAAATTACTTATAAATTTATAATTATTTGAACTTACGTTCCGTATTCATCTCGAACTTTGAAACCATTATTATTTATAGTTTTTGAGTTTCCAGCGTAAAAGAAGGCAGCTACAAAATAAATTGATAAAAATATTTATATACTAATTATTATAATTATTTATATATTAATTTTTCTTCATTATTTTAGTATTCATTTCAATTTTATAAAATTGAATATATTTTTTATATTATAGTTCATATCTTAAAACGTGCTATATATTTTATTTATAATAACATGCATAGATAAAGCAGAAACAGTCAATAGTTTAATAAATTATTAATTCAGATATATTATTCATTTACAGTTTTGAAATTATTTAAAACATTGATATTTAAAACAATTTATATACGAAATATATTTAGCCAAATATTTGCCATCTTAAATAAATACTATTTTATGTTTATGTGATGTTTCATAATTGCAAATAAGAATGCTTGTAAATATAACAAATAAAATTTTAGAGTCAAATTAAAAGAATTAATATGAATTTATTTATTAAAAATTCTATTTTTCCATTAATATTTTAACTATTTTATAAAATATTTTTAGAATATTATTCTTTTCAATTCTAAAAAATATTTGTTTTGTAAATTATTAATGAAGAAAGTAATAGTTTGCACGTATACTTTTTATTATATATCACGTATAATAATACACACACACAAAAATATTTGCACCTATGCAAAAATTCTGTTGTTAAGAAAATCTAAAATTCACAATGTCAAATTATTAATAAAACTAGAAATGAACCGTTGCTTTTAAATGTTTGTGACAATATTTCATAAAAATTGTAATGGTACTAATAGTACTTACAAGCATTGATTGTTTATGTAATTAATAAATTATCAGGATGTTAGTATCCATAGTTTATATATATTTAAAATTGTCATTAATACAAAACCGTTATACTTGCACGTATTTTCACTTTCGAACTCTTATACACACCTATTCTGGAATTATTTTATTCTATTCTAGAACTGAATGCTGGATATATCATTGAATTTTATCACTAATCATGATTGTTTCACATATCCGAACGAATGAGAACGCGAAAAAACTCATTTTAATGACTACTAGTATTTAACTGATTTTATACTTTCATTGTTATTTGTCTTTTTCTCTGTAATTTTCTGGCTTTTAAATGTTAATAAGGCAATAGAACTTGGCGAAAGTTTGACGAGTACAGACTTGCCTTTCCTTATTTTATTACTGTTTATTTCAAATACGCTTGATACCTATAAAGCGCATGAAAGTCATCGCGTGATTCTTATTTTTATTTTGTTTATATTTCTTGTTTGTATATTAGACCATATGCATTGTGGTAAGAGTTGACTGTACCTTGTTCGATATTTAAATCATTATAATGACTGTGAAAAAGCATTTCTATGGCATTATTTTTAGCCAAATTCTTAATGGAAGATAAAACATATGTGAATAATGAAAGCAATCACAATAAAAACGTATTTTAATAATTGTCAAATAATTGGATTTTTTCAAAATAAAGTTTAACAATTATTAATAAAATAAGAATTATCAAATAATGTAAGTTATTATGTTAAAATAATTATCAGATATCTATTAAATTAGTAAATATTATGTAATATTCAAAGTTATCGTCGGATTGCAATAATTTAGTTAAACATTTTGTAAAATTATATTAGTAAATAAAAATTTTTTATCGATGATAATTAAATATTTATAATAATTAAGTATTATCACGAAGTTAAGCAACTTTTTTCTAATATGAAAATAATTACATTCCAAAGAAAATAACAAAAATTTAGATTGTTAGTGGACTTATATATATAACTAACATTTAAAGCTTTGTCATTTTTAAAATAAAAATCAAAGTAATTCCATCACAAGTACGTTGGATAAACTGTTAAGAAAGGCACAATTAATGATTATGTAGCTTTTATATTAAACATATAATGTATTATTATTATATTTATATTGCAGTGAATAATAATAAACATAGAATATAAATTAAAATTATGTTATTTATATATCTAATAAATGTGGCATTTGTATATTCATACCTGAGAAATAAAAATTGTATTGCAACGAGCACTAATATAAAAAAGGAGAACATTTATTAAAGTATATCATTAACATAATATCAATGGCATGTACCAACCTGGACCTTCACCATCATATGTAAAGTCCTTGATGAATAGTGTTCTGGCATCGACAGCATAAACTTCACCGCTGACGCCGTGATGAAGTTCAGATAACTTGTCAATGAGTTTCCCATGATACGCAGCAGTACATTGTTCTATAATTTTAAGATGAGACGATAAATTTTTGCATCCTTCAATACTTATAATTTTCAAAATATATTATAGTAAATGCAGCTTTTAGAATATGATTGTTTATAATTTTTACAAATATTATGAGATAAAGGAAAATTTATTGTCATATTTTAACTTATATAAAGAAAATTTAATTAATATATTAATGTATTAAGAACTAATTAGCCTTTTCTTACCAATTTACAGGTTTTATTGTTAATATATGTTATAAGTTATACATCTATTATAAATGATTTTTCTAAAAAAAATATTCTTTTGCATTAAACAAGAATTAGATAAGTGATAACATCTAAGTTTCATCAGTCTAATCAAATGTTTTCAAGCCAAAATATATATTTTTAATAGTTATATGTACATATATTAATATAAATTTTCTAGAAAACATGTTTGTATTTATTTAAAAATTAATGTAAACATATGAAATGAAATAAAACTATAGACTATATTTTGTCAATATATACCTTCACAATTTACATAAAATAAGATAATACGGCAATAACATAATAAATTGATTCTGAGCTCTGAAAATAGACTGCATACTTTCGAGCTTATCGGAGCAGCACGTTATGTTGTATGGAGAGACTTTAAATTATAATTTACAGTAAACGAACCTCTATGTGTTTAATTAAGATGTTCACCAAGCATCGATTAATTTATACTCGCTCCATAAAATTTTTGCTTCATATTTATACTTCTATTTTTTAACAAATATAATTGTAACGATTTAAACATATCTACAATCAGATTCCATATTTTGTTTAATAAAATAATTTTAATATGTTTCAATATTTGATTTCTGAAAAATATTTTTTAATATAATACCATAAAAATAATTAATCACCAAAAACGATTATATTTGAATCGATTATTATATTGAAATATTTATTCACACTATCTTTATATACATTATTAAAGAATACAATTATAATTGTTTATATTATCTTATGAAATTTGAAACTACTTTGCTTTTCAACAATAGAATTATTATTTTCTTATTTATATTGTATTTATAATGAAAATTAAATACTTTTTATAAATAATTTCTAACATTTGGCAATTAATTGAAAATCTTCTTTAATATTATTTTATAGATAATAATTTGTATTTGAAAACTGAAAGAAGTTAATTCACTTTGAGAAACGACTGTTTTCATCCTACTGAATTAACATTATTCGTTTATTATGTGCCGTTACGCGAAAGCAGCGACCTCGTTATAAATTTTCTTTTCTATCTTCAGGCAAGAGTACGAAAGTGTTTAAATGTATAACTAGTTTAGTTATAAAAATATTTCAGAGAATTTTAATACACTGTACGAGAATAAAAAAGATTTGATTATCAACCATAGGAATAACATAGTAAACCTACATCTTAAAATTTTCAATTGTTATAGATTTAGAATTATACTAAAAATTAGAAATTTGATTGTCCCATTATAATATAAAAATTTTTAAATAACTTTCACTAATAATATAATTTATTTATTGTATGTTGAAAACTACAAATAAATATTTCAATTTTAGATTTATTATTGAAATTTAAATTAAATAAATTCATCATACTTCTTTCAGATTTAGTTAACAAGAATTTATACATTATAAAATAATAAAATTAATGTTTTTTATAATAAAAGAATCTAATTTATTGATGGAATATAAGCTGATATTCTAATAAGTAATAATTACTAGTTTTATTAGAGAACTTAATTAAATAATGTTATTATTTTAATTTAAATGTTAATAATGTATTTTTGTAACATTTTTCATTCAAATCATCTCTTCTTATAGATTATCGATAGCAATCAAGTGCATATATATAAATATTTACATTATTATTCTATCAAAATCACAATTTTGATAATATTATTCTATCAACTAACTGATAAATGAATGAATTAATTTATGCATGAATTAATGAAATTAAAATATATCAAGTAAAAAAGTAGCTTACATGTTAGATAGTTCAGTATACTTTAATCTAAATATACTTTTTTTATCTTAGTTGAATAGCTTGCCTATTTTTCATATTTTCTAGTGTTCAATTTATTTTAGTTTTCCCTAATTTTTAAAGTATTAAACTCAAAACCTATAAACACGCAATTAATTAAATATGGATAGAATGTCATCCAATTCAAAGATCTTATTCTACAACCTGCAAGTTAAATCTAATGTTTTAAAAAATATTTAAAGCGTTATTAAATAATATGATTATAATCTCAAAGAATTCATTTAACGGTCACGTGTTTAAAAATATTACTTTTTATAAAGAAAAAATTTCCAAAAAAACCTTTAAATATCCTTTATTAGATATATATATATATATATTCTAGAGTACATATTCTTTATCAATTTTTATCTGATTTACTACATAAGATTGTAATAGAAAAATTAATTTCTATATTATGATATATGATAATTAAAAGAAGAGCAACGCTTTTTTGTTAGTATATAATACTGATGTTTAATATAATGTATTTATATATAGTTTTCTAAAACAGTACATAAAATCATATTAGCAATTTAAAAATATTTCTTGTGTGTATATATAAACTGATGCATGTACTTTACAAAACTATAAATTTTATTAATTTACTTTACAATACCGAAATTACCGAAGTATTGTAGTTTATCATATATTTTTAAAAATTATAATATATGAAATATAATATAAATATTAACTTCTACATTAAAAAATTATAAATATAAAATTTCTAATAACTCTGATAAAATATTGTAATTATTTTATATAAAATTTAAATAACATAAAAAAATTTATACATCCTATAATAACTAACTTATTATTTACCAATATATTTATGCTTATTTTTTTAAAGCAATAGTTCCTTTTAAAATTTATATATAAAGCTTGATTGTTTTTACAATTTAAGTTATAGATATCAAAGCTATCAATTTTCAATATATATCTTAAATAATATATTAGTTCTATTTATCTATATTCCCTTCAAAGATTCAAAAATACATGAAATTGTAATGAAATTATAAGTATAATGAGAAAAAAACGTAATAATTTCATTTTAGATAGAAAATTCATTTATAAAATTGTATTCAGATTCGTAAATTAATTGTTATAAATAATAAAAATTTTATATATTTAAATATTTTGACAATTACTTCTTCATCAATAAAAACAATGATAAAAATCAGATATCCTGTTACAAGTTCTATCAATTTGTAGTGTTTTAAATAAAATAAAGTGCTTATTTTAAAAAATGTACTAATTCGATAAATTTAATGAACTATAGGAACTGAAAAATAAAATAAAAATATGTTTCAATTACAATCATATAAGAATAAAAAATAGATACTGGAATGAAAATTTAAAACATTATTTGTTGGATACATATTTATTTGTAGGAGAAAGTGAGCAGAAGCTATCAATGTAATTGTTAGAACGTACTATTCGATAAATACAAGCTTGTGCAACTTGAAGTATAATTTTATAGGTTTCTACCGTATCATTTATTCTTAAACAACAACCATATAAAAAGATTTAACACAGATGTATAGCAATATTTTCATTGTCATTGTAAACCTAATTTTGTTATTATAAGTGTTGAATGGATACTTTTAAATATTCTATTTTATGATTTATCAATTAATACTTAACTTTTAAGATAATATAGAAAGACAAAGTAGAATCGCATTAATTTGTTTTATCACAATGTAAGATTAGGAGAAAAAAAGTATTAATTTAGAAAATCGTGTATTGTATTAACCAATATCGATAAAGTAAGTAAAGTTTGTTAACATTTCTTAGTTAGGTCATATTTGATAGTAATGGATAAATTAATTCTAATTTTCTAATTCTAACAATAAAAATATGAATATAATAAATAAAATGACGTATAAATTGAATGACAGTAATGGGTACAAAGTGATATATTACAATAACCACTACATTACTATGAAATATCTTTCAAATAATTTATATTAATAATAGATATATGAAAATATTATTGAAAATTATATTTTCTGTAATGGAAAATTATACTATTTTATCCTAGCACATAGATAAATATTAATTTGTAAAGGAAAAAATTGAATATATTGAAAATTTGAAAGAGAAAAATAAATCAGAAACAAAGTTTCCTTACATACGAAATGAAAGAATGAGATTGACAGAGAGGGGGGGGGGGGGAGAGAGAAAGAAAGATTAAAAAAAAAATTACTTATGAATTTCAAATAGTGAGGTTAAATGAAATCATATAAGATTGTCATATGGAGTATAGAGTAAATACTCTCTATATTAATAATAGCATCAGAAATTAACTGAAATTACTTATTCTTTAAGTATATCTTGAAAAGAATAGAAATATGAACTATTTTTCTATTGTATTTATCAATGATTCAATTAATGTATTTGATTAAACTGATATTATAATGTCAAACTTCCTACATAGATGGAACTAAAAAGTTTTAAACTAGGAAATACTTGTGAATCTTTTTATTAAAAAAAATGTATATAAATATAAATATATATACCTTAACCATATAAGATGCAAATGAATGAAAGCTATAAGTTGTTGTATTAAGTTTCATGTAAATAAATTTTATGGTTTTACTTTTTATTCTTCATATCATTAAATTTATATGAAAATTTTTTATTTAAAATCTTTTTTTTTCAATGTATTGACTATTCATTATTTATTTAGAGTCGAAAAGGAAAGTTAATTATGAAATTCTCTAATTCAATAGTACCAACTGTATTATATAAAATAATAAAGCTATTTTTTGCTAAATGCCGCAATACTTTCAGTAATTTTAAAAATAAATAAAACACACCTTTATCAATTTTTAAATTGTCCTTTTTACAATAAAATTATAGAAAAATAAAAAATCCTGTCAAAATCGTTAAATGTATTATTATTGTCGTACGGTGAAGACACCTTTTGCTTATTAGTTTATATTCCAAAGAAATAAAATTCTGTGAGTGTACTTTATCTCATACAAACGATGACAGGAAAAAAGAGTTTCATAAGGATGACAACAAATCGAAAAAAGAAATAGCTGATGGAAAAAATCTCTTTATATACTTTTATGCAATTTATCTCATGTAGAAATAATTGTGGAAAATAATCAGTATGCGGAATGTACCGACCTGCACACGATTGTTCACCTTCATGCTGTTATTTCCTCAATCTCAGTAATTTTTCGCGATCAAAGAGTTAACGATTAGAAGCCAAATGAAACTAACAATGTTTGTTATCATTCAACAAAAAATTATCTACGCATCACTGAATAATGCAAATTTTATTAGTATTATATTAAAATTAACATGCTATGTATAAATATTATTAAATATATATAAATGTTTGTATATAAATTTATATATTTTGCTATATATAAATATAAGTATTAATAAATTTAAAAATTCAATTTTTTTGCTTTATTTTTTTATACATGTTGTAAGCTTAAAAAATAATACGCAAATGTCATTTATAAAGACATAATATAATATTAATAAAAACTAAATATAAAAATATATATTATATATATCATTAATTTATTATCTGGTATATTTTAGAAAAATAATTTATTAATTAAACCTCAATAAATATACATATACAATTTTTTGCTTTGAAAATACATTATGTAAAAGTATATTTTCTTCCTTAGCCTATTTATATATAATTGTCCTCACAACAAATATTCAATATTATGACATTGTATTAAATATTTAAAGCATTTTTCTTAAAAGTTTTAAATTTATTGAATTATCGATATTTGCTTGTTAAATATTTTTTCATTAAAAGCTAATAGATTATAAATAATTATTATTTTTTTAGAATAGAATATTATAAATATATTGAAACTTGTTTCATATGTATAATAAATAAATTCTAATATTTCCAAAAAATAATTATGTAATTTAAATAGCAATGTTTCTAACAATTGTGTTTATTTAATTTTCAATATTTATTTTGTATACGTAAACAATTTTATATAAAATGAGCTTTTAAAAATCTATATACAAATATAATTACTATGAATATTAAATCAGTACACACTTTGAAACTATTCTGTTATAATAATATAATCAATTGTATATTATACAATAATGATATACACGTGCAAAAAAAAAAAATAATAAAAATCGAGTTAGTTTACATACAATTCTAAATCAAATTTATTTTTCACTGTAATTGTCAGTTTATTAAATTGATGACTGGAGAATGATTATAATACAAAACTTTACCAAGAAATACAAATTATGAAAGAGAGTAAACTTTTCAATAGTAATTAAGTTTTTTCATTAGTAACACAATGAAGTTAGATATTTAATTTTCTATTGGAAACAAGTAAATGTGTATGTATTTTAAATTAAAAAATATTTATTGTATAAAAGAACGACGATTGGTAACCTTTTTTTGAAAATATTATATGGCTTATTTGAATTAAGTAAATAGAAATATTAATAAGTATTTCAAGAAATATAACATACTTATTAAATTGTATAAGTGTAAATAATAGAATAAATATCAGATATTAAAAAATATGCCTGCTATTGTACATCTCTTTTATCATTAATGTTTCCATAACGAAATGTAAAGTCGAAAAATTTAGATATTGATACATTTTTTAATTATATAATTTCTGCTTAGACTGAAAAATAATTTATTAAATATTATTTAATAATTATATATATATTAGAAAAATTAAAAAAAAATATTTTTAAACAATACAAATATAGCATTAATATTTAGTTTTCTTTATATATATATATATGTAGAATAAAATTATTTAAGTTCCAAAAATTCATTTAACTAAATTATTTATAAGAAAAGAATAATTTTTATTATAACTAAATTATATAAAAATATATGGACGTTAATGAGATGCCTGCATTTTATTCAAATTTTATTCAAATTTCGTTATTTTATTATAATCCTGAAATATTCGCACACTCCATAAAATTATAATAGTTCAATTTTTATAAGTTTCAATTTTATTTTAACAAGTATTATTAATAATTTTGAATTATTTAAAATTTATAAATAGTAATTATTTTATTATTTTACTATATTATTATATTATATCATTATATTATTATTTTTTTATTATACTATTATATTATTATATTATTATATTATTATATCATTATAGTATTATATTATTATTGTTCTATAGTCAATAAAATGATTTAGTAGATTTTAATATATATACATGTAATATATTTTGAGAGATGAATACTATAACAATAATTAGTAAGCCATTTTTATGTTAGATTAATTTTTCATAATAAAAACATTAATATGTTAACAATAAAATAATGCTAATACAAATTCTAGAAAACATTAGTAAACAGTCATTTTAATTTGAAAAATATATCTAAATTTTTATGTGTAGTAATTGGAATTATAATTTAAAAATTTGTAAGTTTTAATTTTTTTAACACTATATCAGTTGCTTCATTAATCCGAACTTAGAGAAAAATTATAGTTTCCCCAAGGTTTTTTGTAGGTGTAAAAATATTGGTAACATTAGAATCAATGTATTTAGTAAATGTAAGCACTTATTAATTTTCAATTTGTGTATGCATATTATATTTAGTGATAAGTAACAGCACACAATTATGATTGTTTTTTTGTTCTTTGTTTCAACGTTTTTGTTTCATATTATTGTAAATTAAATTATAAATGGATATGTCTAATCATGCTTGTATAAGAAATAATGGTAATGTAGTTTAGTGACGTTTATAGATTTTTAATTTTTCCCAATTATTATTACCACTTGTTTTTACCTTAATTATTATTTAACTTACTACTAAATTAATAATCTAATTTTATAAAATTATATTTATCAATTGCTTGACATTTAAAATCAATGAATAAAGGCGGAATGTTTTATTTATTTCTTTGTGAATTCTATAAAATATGGTTTTATAAATAATTAAATCAAATCATGTTTTTCAATACAGGAATAATTTAATTTATTTTTCAAATTAAAAGAATAACTGGTTAGTTGAAATTTTTTATCATTTTATAAAATACCATTTATTAGTCAATCAAATTTATCATAAATATTTGAAATGAATAGGATACTTTTACACTTGATAAACGAAATAGAATATATTATACGAGTATTTTATTCATTGTAATAATGTATATTTTATTTTATAGAATTTTAAAATAAACTGAGAATACAGAATATTGTTCAGATTCCTTCATTCATAGGACTCAGATTCTATAATGAATGCTTGTAAAAATATTTAGTGTCGCCACAAAAAGTGCAGAGTTTATTAAGGTCTATCAGTATTATGAAAGCCACGAATAGTAAAAATATACGAATCTTTATTGTGTTGGTTTCTAAGTTATATTTATATAACTGAAGAAATATCACTTTAAAATTTCTTAATAGAAATACTAGATCTTTAGATTACGAAATATTAATTTGCAAGCTGTTTCAAGTAAACAAAATGCATTAAATAAATATTTAAGTAACTCTCTCTTTTATGATGAATATTCATAGGGTATATTTAATACACGATCTGTAAATAACTTATTTTAATTTAAAAAGTATTTTGTAAATTATGTGGATTTTTACGTTTATTAAATTTTCTATTTGATATTCATATTATTTAGATATCATATAAATGTAAGTTATATTAATTTGATATAATTTTACATAAAACATGAGAGAAATGTATAATATAGTTTTTTTTTAACTAAAAATTTTTATTAAATACTATAACGTTAATGAATGAATATATAAGAATTATTAATCATGTATAAATAATAAAAGGAAAACTACAATTAAAATCTATTGTTTATATATGAATAGGATATAATGATTCTTATCAAAATTTGTTAAATATAATGAACGACTATTGAGTATAATTAATAATATTGTACAAGTTATAAACAAAATAACAATATTTATTAGAATCTATAGATAACTATATTTATCAATAACAATATTTTAAGACGTTTCAAGATAATTAATAATTTAAAATCAAATGAACGAATATTTTATTATTTCCAGTAATATTTTTGCAATACTACTTATTTAATAATGTAATTTTAAAATGAAGTAACATAAAAACGTAATTTTCATGTAAATGATTATTAGTAATTTTTGTAAATATAAAATCATTAGACATTTGATTTTATTTAGATTTAGGGAGTGTCGTAGAGAGAATGGTAGAGAGAAAAAGAATTATAGAGAATAGAAGTTAAGTTTTTTAAACTGTGTGTTGATTGAAATATATGAATTTTTGCACACTTGATTGTTTACAATTAAAAGTCCTTTATGAGTAAATTTTATTTTTTTAAACATTTGATAATTCTTTATAATTATCTTCAGAAATGCATACGTTTAAAAACATTTAATTTGGAAGATTTATCTTTAATTTTAAATTTTAATAAAATTTTTCAATTATTCTAATTCTAATTCTAATGATTGTACTTGTAATAACAGAAAATGTCCATTAATGTGTGTGTGTGTGTGTGTGTGTGTGTGTGTGTGTGTGCATTTATTGTTAAAATAAATTAAATTTTTTTCTATTGATATTTACTTTAACAATATATGGAAACACTTAAAACATTTACAGATAATACTTTATTACGAGTTTAGTTATATAAAGGTATTAAGATCAATTTAAATATACAAGATTTTTAATAATTATGTTTTATTTTAATTCTTAGTTTGTTATTTTTCATTAAATTATTAATAACATTTTATTACAAAGATATAAAATATATTTTTATATCTACATTGATTTCTAAACATATTAGTATATTTTTTAGATTAAATAAAGTAGGTATTATTGATTCTTGATATGCTTCTTAATTTCACAAATTAATAATTCTTGTAAAAAAAATATGAATTCAAATATCTCTATTCAAGAGTGGGAAACAAGTAAAATACTTACCCGTAAAAATAAAAAATATTAAGATGACTAGAGCAAAAGAATAGTTGAACTGAGCCGATGATAACTTAGTTGGTGAAGGTGATCGTTTCATGATGTCTTCTTGGTTACTGTCGCTGAAACTTTCTGCTCGGCCTTTTTCCCACTACTTGGCTCATCGGGCCTCACTTCACCTTAAACGCGATTTTTTTTGTTTTTCTTTCTCTTTTTCTCTTCCTTTCACTAGTTCTTCACTGTCCTCCTTTTTCCGTGTA